GGTACAGGATCAGATGGTGGAAGATGGGGCTTCAGCTGTCAGCAGCCTGGTCAAACCCAAAGATTTCCTTTCGCTCCTGTGGGAATCCTTGAGAGAACAGTTCAATAATCCTACATCTATCCCTACCCACAGCTGCCCCCTCTCCCCAGATCTCATCCGCAATGAAGTGGAGTGCCTAAAAGCAGACTTCAACCGCAGGATCAAGGAAGTTCTCTTCAACTCTCTCTTCAGTGCCTACTACGTGGCCTTCCTGCCACTGTGTTTTGTCAAGGTAGCTCTTGTTCGCTTCCCTTGCGCCCCTGTCTGCCGCCTCCTTCTGAATGTTGTGTGATTTGCTGCCGGGCCAGATTCTTGGTTAATTCCCCTTTTCTCTGTCTCCCCTTTGGCAGCCCGGATAGCGGAGCATGGCTGCATCCGGAGTGCACTAGTACTGCTCCTGGTTGGCGGATAGGTATTGCCATAAATGTGATGCACCTCTAGTCCCATCACCCCACTTACTAACTCCCCTTCTCCCACCCCCTGCCCTAGGCAGATGGATAGCGGCGTTCTTTGTAGAAAAGGGCACTTGTTGTTTCCTGTCTCAGATCCAACATCGTCCTGGGTTTTGAGTGCTTGGATCAGAGGCTTTGGTGTTCAGCCTGTTAGAAAGCAGAGCCAACTAGAACGTTTGGGAGCCTAAATTCAAGAACCCCTTGCCAGCGTGGGGTTGTGTTTATTGTTGTTTTCTAATTTGTATGAGCTCCAGTTGGTATAATGAAATGGGCAGGGCTCCACAATCCACGTAGCAGTCCTGGTGCAACTGGTGCTCCCGAAGCAGTTCTGTGGCAAACAGACCCTCCTGTCATCTGCTGCTAGAGGAGGAGATGCACCAGCTGCAGCATCATGCCCCTGCCCTTTCTCCTTCAGGTCAAGGAGAAGGGAGCCTTGAGTGTTTCCTAGCTGTAACCCTCTGAAATCACTGGTCCAAAAGCGCATGCCTGTAATGTGTGGTGTGGGTCTGCTGGATGCACATGCAGTACGTCCCTTGTCATTCCCTCCTCTGCTGAGTGACAGCGGTGCCAAGCTCTTGTCCGGTCTCTTTGCAGAGCACGCAGTACTACGACATGCGCTGGTCTTGTGAGCACCTCATCATGGTGTGGATCAATGCCTTTGTCATGCTCACCACTCAGCTGCTGCCTCCCAAGTACTGTGACCTGCTCCACAGATCGGCTGCCCACCTTGGCAAGTGGCAGAAACTAGAACATGGCTCCTACAGCAATGCTCCACAGCATATGTGAGTGTGGGGATGGGGAGGGCTTGGCCTGCCAGCGAGGGGCTGATGAGACATTCTGGTGGATGAGCACTCCTGATACTTGCTTATCTACTGAGGAAGCTTCTACACTCCTCAGTGTCACAGGTAGTAGACACAACTGATCTTTGTGCTCCCACGAAACAGAACTGACTGCTTTAGGAAGCTCTCCAAAAGCTTCTCTGGTCAAGTGCTGGTTTCTTCTCAGAGACAAACACTCTTGGCCGCTAGAGCAGTCACATGGGGGAAAGGGTGGCCCCACCAGCATAGCAGGCTAGGATCTTACATAGGGAGCCATTTCTTCACATTGCCCAGGCAGAGTCCTGGTGAGCTTATGAGCTCTTGCCTCTGTGTTTTTCAAGTGGGACTGGGGACACGTCCTTGTCAGAGGCTTTGGTATTTTTCAAGTTGCAGTCCATTCCTGTGAACCCATGTTCAGTGAGTTGAGAGCATCCTCTCTCCTGCTTCCCTTCGTGCTAACGCTCTGGCATTCTTTTCCCACAGCTGGTCAGAAAACACAATATGGCCACAAGGAGTACTGGTGCGACGAAGCCGATGCCTGTATAAAGCAGTTGGGCCTTATAATGTAGCAGTGCCTTCCGACGTGTCCCACGCCCGCTTTTATGCAAGTATCTCTTTTCTTGTTGGGTCACAGCTGAGGAAGGGAGGAGAGGCTTAAACCTAGCAGCTGCAGCAGAGCAGGTTGTGTGGAACAGTTTGATGCTGCGCAGCAGTCTGTTGGATCTAAACAAAAGGCCTATTCTTAGCAGCAGGGTTTTCCCATCCCAGTATTACTCAAATGTCTGGTCAAGACAGAAGTAATGGCTGCGTTGTCGGTGTTTTCTCACTGTGGTGATGCAGCTCATCAGACGTTACTGTATCTGTAAGAGGAGTGTAGCTAACAGAACATCTTCTAGTAAAATGAGAAGGCATGTCAGCTGGCCTGTAGGTTACTTTACCAGTCTTCCTCTCGAGGAAAATGACATTTTTACATGCCTTGTCTCTTACGCTGCTTTCCCTGCGTAGCAGCTAGCAGTGGCTGGAATACAAACACCACTTCTGCCCGTCTCAGTGCACTGGACAGAACTGTGCACGCACCTCTCCCCACTTCAACATGGCAAAAAATGATAAATCTGCTTTTTACCTCCACAGTTCCTCTTCCACCGTCCATTACGGCTGCTCAACCTGCTGATTCTCATCGAAGGCAGCGTGGTCTGCTACCAGCTCTATTCACTGCTGCGTTCAGAGAAGTGGAACCATACCCTCTCCATGGCCCTCATCCTTTTCTGCAATTATTATGTCTTATTTAAGCTCCTCCGGGACCGGATAGTATTAGGCAGGGCATATTCCTATCCACTTAACAACTATGGACTCAAGGCACACTAGGCCTGCCAAATGTGTACCCCTTCCCCTCCTCTACCCACAGGGCAGGGAGGGAACCTCAGAAAAAAATATTTTCGTACAGTTCTATTTTTTTTCTTGCGGCGTTTATAAATATTTAAAATATTTTATATTTTGTATACTGTTGTTTTTGTGGGGTGGGAAGGGAACCAGTGGCAATTAAATGTCGCTTTATAAACAAGGTGTTATTTTATATATATATATATATATATAAAAAAAAAACCAGCTCAGTGTGTATATACCGTATATCTATACCCATACATATATCTATGTGAAGCAACAGGATTGTGTGTGTGGTCACTGTGTCTGCTTTGCTCACACAATTGCCTCACTGTGGCACACTGTGGGGATAGAATTGCTGTTCATCAGGAACTGGTCTTCTCTAAAACACAACTGAGTGAAGAGCCAGGGGAAAATAAAATGGGGCTTTCACCAGTATGGGCAGTTCATCTGGAAGCCTCAGCACCAGGGAAGAAGATATATACTGGAAATGCACTGCTGCTATACCAATTTAGGGAAGGGAAAGAAGCAGTGTGCTGAACAGCAGGGTATGTTGCTGCTGATCAGCAAAAGCTTTTCAGTTCCCTTTCCAGGGCTAGCAGCACACAAGCATGTATTCTGAGTAAGCCCTTCTTTGCTTTAGCCCCTTTTCCTCTTCATAGCAACTTGAGGTTGCCAACTCCACCTAGAGAACGAACTAAAATCTTGAAATAACAATTTTAAGGCAGTGTATCACTTAAAAAAGGATTTGAAATAGCCTAACCTATAAAGATGGTATCACTTTTATATTGCCATCTCTACTACCTTGAGTAATTGCACTAAATTGCAGCGTATTCAGCTCTTTCCTTCAATCAGAGGTGTTCCTGAAGAAATTTATTCTTGTCAGACTTCCCAGCTCTCCTACTGCCATACAGTGCATTTTGGCAGTGTTTTAGGTATTTTGAGTATTTAAGAAGTTACTAATAGAGAGGAAATATTTTTTTCTTTTAATAAATCTGTTCTTCATAAAGTTGAACTGTGGTAGAATCTAATGAAGTAACAATTATGGCAGTATTGTGAAGGACTTGAAGATGAAAGAGACAGTATCAACCATCATTAATTAACTGTGGATGCTAGTAGCAGCTGATCTTGCTGCTTTAACTCAAGTATTTATGAAGAGGGTAATACAGCATTCTTCCATTCAGATGCTACTGACTGGAACCTTTAAGCATTAGTAAAGTGCTACCCCTCTTTTAAGAGTGGAGACATGTAATGAAAAACAAAACCAACTATACTGAGTTTGGGAAAAACTGCAACTACTTTCTGTTCCTTCTTTCCTTCCAAGGTAAGTAAGAATTCAATATTTTGTTCCCATCTCTAAGACAGCTTCTCCCACAGCCAAATCAGAAGCCCAATTTTTCTTCAATAGTTCGTGAGGTGGGAAACAAGACATATCTAAGCATTAACCATAAGCCAACTAAAGCTAAGCATTTAGGTTCATTTTGGAATGCTCTTAAGTCTTCTCCAATCATTGATGTGGCCACAGTGGTGCAAGCAAGACACAAGATGAGGACTTTCACTGAAACAGTAGTGCGGCTTTAGGGCCTGATCCTGTACAAGTAGAGCCTTCTCCAGCTGTTCTTGCTCTAATGTCATACTTTATGTAACACAACCTCATCTTTTTCTACCTCAATTACTTCCAGAAGTACATCTGTGACAAAAGGAGGTTGGCTCTGTGCTGCACTGTGGCTTCATGCAACTCGTTTCCTGCACCCAGGGTCTACTCGTGTGGCAGCTCAGTAACACTTCTGCTTTTAGTACCACACAAATTGCACTTGCTCAAAATAGCTGGCTCTTGAAGAGCTATTTTATGGCATTACCAGGTAGCATCTTCCACTGGGACTCCTATATGGTAGAAGGCTTATTGCTTAGGTAACTAGTGGGAGAGAAGAGTCTCTCAAACCTCAGGGAATGCAGACGTTTGTCAACAGTGCAACAGAGGGCCAAAACCCCCAAACAAAGGCTTCAGGTCACAGAAGTGATGAATGGTCATGCTCTGAGATTTCCTCCCCTTGCATGTAAGGTTGTAGGTGCGTAAGACTGCTCATGCAGTGAATGCACTCATTCTCTGCACAAGTCAGACTGACTTTACACTGTTTGCAGCACAAGGGAGAAAACCAGTAACATTTCCATATCTACATGCCTTCATTTTGCCAGGAGGGACTATCTTAACTAAGGAGCTTAACACACTCTTCTGTTAGTGCAGGTGTGTTAGGATCTTCCTTATTCCACAGGAGTTAGGCATGCTATTTTAAGGGAAACTGTCCCACTCTCTCTCAAAACAGTACCTTTCTTTAATTCAGCAGCAGGAGGAGCTTTGTAAGAGGTTTAAGGTTTAGAGACTGGCTTTCCACACACAGCCGTGTAGCCGCAGCTGTCTCCCATCTTTACATGGGACCCTGACGTGGAAAAAGGTTGCAAAAGATACTTGCAGGTTCCCCTGTTGGCAGAAACACAGTGAGGAACAAGCTAGTACAGTTGGTCTCCTCACTATGAGCTGGACCATTCAAGAACGTACAGAGCAGAAGTGATGTCTGCTCAGCAGCAATGCCTGCTTTGAACAGTGTTCCTCCTCATTTCTCCCATGGGTCTGCTGCTAAACCTCATTCAGTTAAACATTGAAAACAAGTCCACTCCAGTATCTGGCCAGGTCAGACAAGGGGAAAAAGAAGACTCGTTCCCCATCTTAATCATTCCATCATGCAAGGATGTCATAATGAATGGTTGGTTTTTTGGTCTGGCGACGAAACTGCTCTAGCTTCAGGCCAATCCTCAGAAGAACAGCTTCATCCCACCACTTTGCCATGACCTGCAAGAGGGAGACAGAAAAAACAAGAAAGTAGCATCATCACATACAGTGATTAAAGCCCAGGAAAACATGGCCAAAATTATGTCCCAGCAGCACCAAGATGACACACGCTTCTCCCCTTTATTCTAGCAAGTATGGCACCACTCTATTTGGGAAAAAGGGAGCTCAGTGACTTTATTAAAACATGGTACTTCCAATGACATTAGACCTATTTTCAGAGGGAAAAGAGCAAGAAAGAAACTACTGAACTCAGACATAAGAAAAAGAAAGAGCAGTGATAAATAACGGGTACTGATTCCAGTGGACAAGGAGAAACCTATCTCCAGATGTCTGAAGAGTCCATCTGGCATTCAGAAGTGAGTTACTCTTTGAGGCAAATCTCCTCACCCAGAAGTTAAAAATTCCTTAATAGTATCTGGCAACTCCTCAAGTTTGCTGGCACCAAGAACTTGGTTATAGGGGTTCAGGGCAGAGCCAGCTGGGGATTTTGTGACCCAGCATCACAATAGCCACTGCTTACCTGGAAGCCAATTGGAAGCCCAGCAGTAGAATAACCAATAGGAACGACGAGGCCTGGAATCCCAGTGAAGTTACCAAGCTGCATGAACCTGGGGAAAAAGCTCTCATCAGCACTCCTGCCCTGGGCAGAAGCAAAGTCAGCCTATTCTGGGGGAGAAGCAGCTAGAATCGATCTTCCCCTGCTCTACAGTCTGAACTCCTTGAGTTTGTACACCTAGTCTACAGCTGCTGCCAAATTTTTTGTTTGCAAGGTGCAAGCAGCAAATCTTCTTACCTCATAGACCTCATTGTGAATGAAATATTGCTGCTGCCAGTCAGAAGGTCAGATTCGTGGATTCTCGGGGCAGTGGAAGCAACAGCTGTTGAGGAATCACAGAATGGTTGAGGTTGGAGGGGAACTCTAGAAGCCATCTTGTCCAACCCTCCAGCTCAAGGAGGGTCAGCATTGAGGATGGAGGTTCTACAGCTTTACTGGTCAACCTGATCTGGTGCTTAAAGAGCAAAGAAAGAGTCAGTCTGCAGGCAGTCACCAAGAAACAGTTCAGTTCCTTAATGCCATTTTTCATCTAAATTACTAATGCAAACTCCTTCCCTCCCCCAGAACACAAGTCACTGGGATTTATGAATTGAGCAGTTTTCTATTTCTATGTATGTAGGTAGACGTCGAGTCTCTCCTGCACAACTGCTGACTCTGCATCTTCTGTTCCAAAAACCAAAAGGGAGTTTTGTGACTGCCTTATATACAGGCACCAAGCACAGAAATACACAGCAGTCATTCTAATCAGGCCCCATTTTCTTTCAGAGCTGCAAGGCATGACAAAGTCCTTGCACAAAAGTTACACTCTTTAAACTGGAGAGGAAAAGCTAATGGAGTGACTGTTCTCGATGGGAAGCAGCTCTTTGACCAGGACTGCCAGTACCTGGTGTAAGTATGCAGTTCACAGTGGTGAAGATCTCTCGCAAAAACCTCATGCTGCGAGTTCTCTGTCGATTTGCCTGCAAGCAGAGAGATTACTGTCTGATGAGACTCATCTCCAAAGGCAACTGCCTCTGCCCATGTGAGCCCATGTCTTTGCAAAAGAAAAAACAACAAAAAAAAACAACCACTATTGCTGCATTTTGGAATCAACACACAGTAGATCAGCCCAGGTGTCACATCCTCTGCGGTACCCCACCGTTTTGCCCACCTTCACTGCAAAATCATTTCCTTTTTTCCCCACAGCTGAGTGCTGTCTTCCCATGTGTGCGGGGAGCTTAAGAGAAATGTTGATCCCTCTTCTGCAATTTCATTGCCTCCCCTTCAACCACAGTATGTTCTCACCGTAATATAATCCAGAGCGGTGAACTGGGAACCCAAAGCCAGGCTAGCCCGAGTCTCCAAATTCTGAAAGAGGAAATAGTCACAGCTCTCCTTGTACCAGGCTTGTTAATCATATATTCTAGCTTTAGGTAAGCATGAAGTAAGACAGCAGATTCCTGATTGTCCTTCTCCCCACCTTTCCCACCTTCATCAGCCTCCATCAAGCCTAAGTGTCTCCCTAGGAGCTGTAGTTCAGACCTCTGCATGCTTTAGTAGCCTTCCATGCTGACCGGAAGAATCTCAGCTTGCACATAACAATTTGAAGGGGCTCAGGTCTGCTCAGTCAACAATAGCAAGAAACTGAGTGTGATAGCCCAGGAGTTCTCTTCCAGGACTACTCTCTGATATCAGAAGTCATCCAGCAGGTGATTTTTCACTGAGAAAGCAGGAGAGCCCCAGGTTTCTCAACAGTGCAAGACACTCGTTCTGCATCGGTCATGACAACTACCGCCACTGATCCAAGCCGCTATCACTTACCATTTCCTGGAAATGTTTGTTGAAGTCGGGCTGCAGGAAGTCCCTCATCTCACTGAGAATGCAGATCGTGTGGGCTATTTTCACTTCCTCCATCTCTGGAAGAGATACTTCAACCACGCTGGCTCCCAAATTCTGCAGGTACTCCGTAGCTGAGTGCAGAACAGGTAACACACAGACAGCATCTGTGAGTTTCCTCCCCAAACTTCACTGAAGGGCTGAGAAAATGCTTCCCCTTGTAAAGTCAGAGACCCCACTTGCCATTACAAGGCAAGATCTTGAGTGCATAATGTGGCATGCAGACTGCTGCCACCTCTTCTCATAGGTAAAAATCTTAGGCCCAATTAGATCTCAGTGCTCCAACAGGGCAGAGGTAGAGGCTTGTGAACAGATTCTTAAATTACCAACTACATTTTGGGCAATTTCACCTTCTCCCTTTAGCCTTCAGTTAACCCAGACAGTAAAGGTGGTTCTGATTATGGTTTGCTGAGAACTTGATACGATTGGCATTCAATCAGCATGAAGCAGTTATTTAGCATCAGGAGAAACCCATTCAAAGCCTCTCCTGAAGTATAATGATAGAGGAAGCCTGTGCATACTCAGAGATCAGGTCAACAATAGAGGTTCACCAAATCCTGATGTACTTTAACAAGGTCAGACACCAGGACTTTGCTAAAAAATGAATCTTCTGCATATTAAAAAGAATTCTCTTCTTTCTTTGACTCCAGCATCTTCAAAAATACCCACGTTTGTGGTACATCTCTCCTAAGAAAACTCTATGCATGTGGAAGCGTGAGTTTTAAGAGCTGGAAATAAGGAGGCTGAAGAGAACTCAGGCAAACAAAGCCTGAGTACTGTGAGCTATCTCAGCTCCCATGCACAAGAGGCCATCTATTATGCAAGGCACTGTAGTCTCTCCCCCAACTCACCACGTTCAATTTTGCTCAGTCTAAAATCCCACAAAGCCACCCCAAAGGCAGCATTTTGCTGATTTCAAGGAAATCAGAGGACTAAATACGTCAAAAAATCCTAGCTGTCTTCCCCACTGAATGTAACCTTGTGAAACAACTCCCTCCCTTAGAAGACTTTTACTCTTAAAGCTTGCAGAGTAACTATTACTGTGCACAGATCTGTCTTTATACAGACAGAGGCTTAGCACACTGAACTGTATTCTTCCATTGTAACCTGACAAGCCTGCAACTGCTGAGCTTTTTAACCCTCAGCAGTCAGGAGGGCTTCCCTAGTACAAAGCTACTGCTGTCTGTGCAGTCAGACTTCTTTAAGCATCTGCCTTTAACGACAGCAGGCCAGATCTCATTAATGCATCCGCGAGAGGAAACACCAAGTGACACTATGACTTTAGGCAAATTAAGAGAGGTGGAAACTTTTGCTCTTTACCTTTCTCACAGACGGACAGGATTTCTGCATCACATGCCTAGAGAACAAGAGGAAAGAACTGAGCACATTTGGGTAACAACTCTCCTCTTCTTGGTGAGCACGCTCACAGAACTTCAGTCCTCGGGTCTTCCTTACTCCTGTCTCTAATGGCAGGGAAACAGCCCCCCCGAACTGCCTTAGGCCATCTGTTCCAAGAAAACAACTTGCAGGGCATCCCCCTATGGAAAAGGAACAGTCTCCTCTTCCAGAGGAGAGGACACTTCTCTGCACTGGGGCAAAGCCAAAAACAAACTTATTTTCTCAAAGAGAAGAAGTCCTGGGCATGTTTGTGGAGCTGTATTACAACTGCCAAGCAGTATTAGCTTGTGTGACCAGTTTCTACATGGGGATGATAAAATACTATTCAGTATCTACCCCACTGTCACCAAATAGATATGGTAATTTTCTTCACTTGTTTTTGAACTAATTCCCTTTTGGAATCAATTCAGAAGCATCACTTACAATAAAAACAGTGCTATGAGAAAGCATACTGCGATGAAATGTAGTTGTTACCTTTCCTCCTACCTACAACAGGCTTCTACTCAAAAGGTTGCCTTAGAAAAATGTCATCCCAGTGGGTGCTTTCACCCTGTATTTCCCTCCAGTTATAGGACTAAATATAAGAATGATGAAAGGCAAGAGAACACTGAATGCACTGAATTCCTACAAACTTCATTCTGCAAAGCAGGAAGAAAGAGATAGAATAGTCACCTTAAAAAACGTCCAATCCACTCCCAGTTTTAAGCCTTTCAGGTCAGGAGCACACATATCTGACAGGGTTGCTTTGGGTTGCTTTAGTCCTGCAGGGAACAAGCAAGAGTTCCTCTGTTGATCTAGGATGCTTATAGGAAGGCAGAGCACTTGGCTTCTGGGCGGGAGTGGGCTCACCTACCATATGGATAGAGTGGATCTGGCTCAGCAAGAATACTGTAAACAATGGCTGCATCTGCCACTGAGGTACAAATAGGACCTGTGAAAGAGACAGCGGTTATGAAAACACGGCAAGGAGTAAATAGCATCCTTCTTTTGTAGGCCCAGATTGCCTCCCCGGTGGCAACACATAGGGAGGTCCCTGAAAAGGAGCACAAGTTCTCTTACCTACACTGACTGTGGAATAAGAGAGGGGGAGGCTGCCATGACTGCTGATCCGCCCAAATGTACCTCGAGAAAAAGAAATGGGCAGTTAGTTACACATGAGCACTCACTGGTAGGACCCCGGTCTACCCAGATGGGACAGCAAGTAAGGCACCCAATCCAGCCACTTTTAGGCCCGCTGGTTCAGAGCTCCAATCTTTCAATGTCCTCTTTTGCAGAGGCAGAATTATCAACAGGAAGAAATACCATGCTCTGCAAGATCTCAACCTCTTCACCAGTGAGACTTCATGCCTAGCACCAACTGTATTCTGCAAATGTTCTTATCAATTTTCTGACCAGTCACACTTTAGTCGTCATTGTTACCTTCCTCAGATGAATTATAACAGAGCTGGCCATGTGTGAAAGATAGTAAAACAGGGTAATGGTTGAGTATCTGGTCCCACAGAGCAAATGAGACCTTTCAGAATGCTAAAGCATTCCAAAAAACCAACTTCTCTTCCGAGTGATGGTGACTTCACCTGCTTTGCCACCTACCACACTGTAGACAATGTCCTGTGCATTTCTTATGTCCTTGATCCATTCCCCTTAATGATGTTAATTCTCACTGTAAAAACTGCATTGCTACTTCTTGTACCTCTGAGATAAGGGGGAATGGCTACATGCTGGTTTGATACAAGCCTATTACCACGTCTAATTTACCAAGCACAAATCTGAGCAGCAACCTCTCCATATAACTGGGATAAGGCACTGGAATGGACTGCCCAGGGAGGTGGTGGAATCACCGACCCTGGGGGTGTTCAAGGAAAGGCTGGATGTTGTGTTGAGGGACATGGTTTAGTAGGAGCTATTGGGAATAGGTGAACGGTTGGACTGGGTGATCTTTTAGGTCTTTTCCAACCTTAGTGATTCTATGATTCTATGATTCTATGATTCTATAACGGGAATCCATCATAGATGGAGCTGCTTTGCACTAGTTCACTACAGACACCCAACTACATTGTGAACATCTTCAGGAGAGGAAGACAGAAGAAGGATGAGAGGATAGAAAGAAAAGCAGCGTGCAAGTTTTGCTTAGCATTTGATAAACGTACAGGATAAACTAACAGAAGTTAGTTTTTCTCAGTGTCTGTTCCATGGTCAGTACTGAGTCTACTGTCACTTTGCCAGTCTAACCCACGTGACTCTCAGAATGCTCTGCTCCAGAGTTTCTCTGGTTGAATTCTAAATAGCAAGAATTAATGGATTGGGCCTGTCTTGTTTGTGGCACCCTGATACAGTACAGAAGACATACACACCCACCAAGATTAAAGGGCACTACCTTTCAGCCCCACCACACCACAGAACGAGGCAGGAATCCTCACAGAGCCGCCTCCATCTGTGCCAATGGCCACTGGGCAGAGACCTACAAAAACAAAACAAGCACTGGCCTATGATCAGAGACAAATGTTATGCCCCTTTCATTCTACCACCACCTGTAGCCATGATAGCAGATAGAGCTCTCTGTTTATCTAGAACTTTCCTCCAGCTTCTAATACCTTCATGAAATCTAAACACCCGATGCTCAAGACTTGCCTCCCACCACCCTCTGGCTCAGTTTAGAAACACCTACCTGCTGCTACAGCTGCTGCCGACCCACTGGAGCTCCCACCTGTGAAATGGTTGGGCTTGTAGGGATTCCTAGGGATCTTGTGGTACCTGGGGCAGACAAACAGTGGTGAAACTTTTCCTAGGAAGCACTGAGCGTACTATGGGACAGAAAAAGATCCAGAAACATAGCTCAGGGATTCAGATCTCTTAGCAGAGAAACACCAGTAAAGAAACCCAGGTAATGGTATGCCCCTAGAAAATGAGACAAAAATAATTCTGGCTCAGAGTGCACACAATATCATTAGCAGCCTATCCAAAAGGAAGAGATTCAAAGCAGCAGAAAAGATGCTCTTCCACCTCTTCTGGTTGTGACTACGCTGTTCCATTACTCCATACCACAGTGCATCATGCAGTGCCAAAAGATGGAGCAGTCATTGACCACCAGTTCTTACAAAACCACAACCAAGTTGGTGTTTCCAGCTCTGCCCTTTATTCCAAACTCTTCAGCCTGACCACAGACCCGAGGCACCAAAGAGACCTGCCCAGTGGCCGGGTATCCAGCTGGGGCAGCAGACCACACACAGGGAGAAAATGCTCATGCATTTTGTTGTAGCTGTGAGAGAGCCCCACTTCCATCCAGCTGCACATTGATAAAGTGTGGATCTGCAGACAGCTTACGAAGGCTGTGAGAACCACTGCTCTGACAGAGCAGTTCTCAGCCTGCTATAGCTGGAAAATTCAGAGGTAAAGCAAATTACAGTGAGCTTGTTTTAGTTAGGACATTAAAACACTAAGTTTCTCCTGAGCTGATTGTACCTTTTCTCATAGCTCTTGGCCATTAGCCATTTTTGTGACTGTGCATGAGGTCTCTATTGTTTTCTGTCATTGTTTCTGTCTATGGTTCATCCTGTAAATATCTATGATTCATACCTTCAAGTCATGTAAGGCCTTGCAAAGCCAACTCTTTACCCAGAACAACTTGGCTCCTCTCCTGCCTTTGGTTTCAGGAGTCTTCAGGCTTCCACAGCTACTCTGAGCCTCAAATCTTCAGTGCTAGGTTTTCAGATCCACATGGTTCTCCATGCATGAGGTGCTTCAGTCAGTTTTACTTTTACATGCTTGCCTTATTTTTGTACCCTTCTCTGTCAGCTCTGGACAGACTTGTAGGTCTTTCTAGAGCCTAGGGCAGAGAGAGAAGGAGGGGATTTTTACCTATTAGGGTTGCATCCAGTTGTTCCAGTCCCTAGTTCGTGCATGTTTGAGACCCCAATAATCACAGCTCCAGCCTCTCGCAGCTTCTTGGCCACAGTGGCATCTTCTGTTTCAGGCTCTGTTCCAAGGTACACTGTTCCTACTCGGTGATAGTAGGGTACCTTAACAAGAAAACACCTCATTATTCATTATAAAACCCCAGAAAGGTGGGCAGACACTCATGTGTACTTCACATGCACATTTCAGCTCCACAACCAATTCCAGACATCAGGACCCACTGAGTTAATTCAGGACCAGGAAGCCTTGCTCTTCATCTTGTCCTGCGCTGTTTCCTGTTATAAGAGATCCTTAACTCTTCACTGTTGGGTCATTCTCATGTGCAAAGGAGTCCTTTTAATACTACAGTACGGAGGAGTAGAGACAAACAGATGGACAGAAAAATCCATCTCTCTACAGCAATGTAATTGCTACGCTCACAGGACACAAAACAGTCAACCCTGGCCCCACAGCATACAGGAGCTCTATTTTCCACTTTTTGTGGAAGGAGCTGCGGCGTTTCAAAACTGCAGCGCTTTGAAGCAAGGCACTGAGATTAGATGGATGCCAAAATACCAGATGGACTCAACTTCAGGGTGTGCTAAGTACTCTCCCCGACAATTAAGCGATAGGTCTCTCCAGAGTCCACAACAGTTTAATGGCACTGCCAGGAATATTTAATAGTTGCCAGCTCATAGCCCACCGTGGGTGGAGACTTTCAGCATAACTTTCATATTTCTGCTGTAAGTATGTCCTTCATGGCAACGAGAGATGGAGGCTATGCTAGAATCAGTGCCAGAGAAGCCCAGGCAGTTACACCCACTGCTACAGATGCTTTTATACACACTCATTTCATCAGAAGAGGGACTGCTTCCCACCACCACCCTCCACTCTGCACGGAATACAGAGATTCGTACAAGATAAGGAAAACATCTGTCATACTCAAGACCTGTCTTCACTTGGTAAAACTCGTTAATCCTGTTCACTATGCTCATCTACCTCTTATATTTTAAATACAGGTTTCTGCTGAGGAGATGGCTTTAAAAACTTGTTGCAATAAGCTCTCCTGCTTGATCTCTTACAGCATGAGCTGACAGCTAGACATGGAAACTCACCACTTTGAACTCTTCTTTCAGGCACACTGGGATGCCATCCAGGTAAGACAGGGGACATTTATTCCTGTAACGAGCAGTGGAGGCCTCGGCCATCTACACAGAGGAAGAAAATGTATATGACAGAGTTGAACTGCAAGTCATTACAAGTTTAACAACAGATACCACAGATATCTTTGCCAGGTTGCTGACAAGCCAAACTACGTAAGTTTTCTTCTTCCACTGTATGCTGGTGGGAAAATACTGCTTAGGAGAATCCATGCTGACAGATGCCACATAAGCACAAAAATTCTGGCTTAAAAATAGAAAAATAGCTGTCCAGTAGGAAACGAATTGCCTTAATGCAGCCTCTTTTTGCAGGAAAGGAAGCAAATCTTTCTGTAGTCCTTTACACAAGAAAGAAGCAAAAACGTACATATTTTTCTGTGTAACAGATCAGAAGAACCTCCGCCCTTCCTACTGCTCTTGTGGTGGTAGAGGATCCTTTCCTAACAGACATTACCAGCATTATTTGCTCCTGGTTCCATTGCACTATTGCTCTGAGTGGGGGCGTGGATTTGTCGCAGTCCTCCAGCACAGCAATGATGTTCTTTGCTACTTGAGATGGCGTCAGCTTCCCACTCCTACAGGACAAAAGTTGGGACCTCATTATAAGACCCCCCCACACACCGTATCCATGCAAAGGGTTTGTCTATCATGTAGCAAGAAGGCAGTTGTCACAGTTGTAATCACTAAATATATGACAATATGTGTGTGGTGATGATTTCCATATGATTGCATCAGGACACGAGACATCCTTCTGTAAAGGAGTACTTGCCTACACAGCACTCTCCTAACCCTCAGAATAGGGACAGGAGATAGGAGACTTACTCAGATATTCCTGAAACACTAGGAAAAACAGGGCAGGAAAGCTGACAGCCTTTACAGTTTGCCTTCAAGCTTTAGAAAACCTAAGGCTATGAAACTGCCAGTACCGTGAGCTAAGAGAAGAGGCCAGATCTGCCTCTGGCTGACACAAACACCTAGTTAGAATGGATCTATAACACCACACTGCAGTGCCACCCATTTGCTCCAAGGTCACAGCTCACTGAAAGGGGTGACCCCTGCGGAACACGTCAGGAACACGGCAGGATTTATTTGTGTGCTCCAGATACGGCACACATTCCAAAGGCAGCCACCCAGCAGCCAACAGGTTACAGAACCTTGGAGTCAGTGATGTGCTTCCAGCTCCTTCTGAGCTGGGCACATTGACTGGGTAAAAGCAGGCACTCTGTTCTCAAGAACACAAGCAGCTGGGGATTTAAGGGGCTCTTCAGAGGTCTACAGTATGTGCAACTTGCTTCATCCATATGAACCTTTCTCACCTCCTCACTCATTTGGGCAATCAAGGTATGTAGAAATCTCTCCCAAATATAGACAGCCAAGACAAACAGTATTTAAATAACCTTGCAGGCTTTTTAAGAGTTATGCAGGCAGTTATGCTGGCTTTTCTTTGTTATTCTATCTGAGGGAAAGGACTGCAAAGGATGAAACTAACCAGTGGTACCTCACAGACAATCCTAACAAGGAGATGCCTGAGCTTCTGGAATAATAGCAGCCCACAGCTGGGGAACAAGAAAAATAAGTTGGTCCCAGGCTATAATTTCACTCACCGGTAGCAGTCCAGGTAGTCTTTGATCCCTTTGAAGCTAAACCCATGGCTGGCAGAATCAGGCCTGCGAAGAAAGGATTGAAAGGGCAACTCTGAAATGTCAAGGTCACCTCTGTTCAGACCTTTTGTTCAATGCAGGCTAGGAATTGCTCACTCCCAGGTCATTGTTGGGACTGCAAGCCTGAGCATTTTAGCTCACGCTTCTTGCACACATTCAAGACACAAGGTACATTAATGGTACCACAGCAATAAGCTGTCAGACTTGATACGTTTTAGTTGTTTCACTTTTCCACTGCAATAAAGCAGTCCTTAGATTCTTCAAAATTTATTCCAGGTTTATATTTGCTATTCACCACTGGAGCATTACAGAATAGCTAAAATATACCCATAAGCCTGCTTCCAAGAGATCTATCCCAGGTTTGATTCAGAGACAGTGAAGTACTAAGGCCTGAGCAGTAGGCCTTCAACCAAAGTTGACCTCTCAATGAATCTTACAACCCAGAGTTGTAAGATTATCATTAGTATTCAACCATTTGCAAAACATGCATCTTGAACAAAATGTCTCATTAGCAAGAGACGTAGCTTAGATAAAGCATTATGAGAATGTATTAACCTTTCCTTGTTTAGAAGCATAGTGTCAAGGCCTACTAGTACACAAACTTCCTTGGTTTCTCTTTAAGTCCCGGCCAGCCTTGAGGTGGAATCCAAAAAGGGAGAATGAAACCAGATGTTTCCGCCTAACTGTCATGTAAATGTCTTTATTCAACAATATAAAAGCTGGACCCTTCTGCAGCGAGGTTGGAGACCTCATCAAGTGGACAGTTGCTGGGAAAGGCTCTCCAAATCCTTGCCACAAACAGGGCTCCCCAGCAACTGTGGATCTGGATGACGGTGAAGTATTAAGGCAATTGATGACGTATCTTTCTTAATCACTACGGTTCTTCATCACTGTAGTCAATCTTCTGTAGTAATGGTTAGGTGCATTACCACGTTCTGTTTTATTCTTGTATCATTTCACCTTTAATGTAGGTAAAGATAAACACGCTTCTTTAAGTTGGTATCTCTAACTTTGGTGCTGACTCTGTTCATTAGCAACATAGCCAGCAGCACATCCAGTGTCTGGTGTGGGATGGAGAAGAGGTGCTAAGCAGCACACGTGGCAATTCACATCAAACTGCTTAAAAACAAAGTCAGTAGCTCTGACTTTTGATAAATAGATCCATTCTCATCACAGTCGGACAAACACAGAATGATTAAAACAACTGGCTACAATTACTATTCCTGTCACGTCCCCATATCATCACCCAACTCAGAGGCCACATCCTGGAGCAGGACAGTGCATGGCTCTCACCATGCGCTACGCAGGGAAGAAGTTAGATTCAAGTATCCTGCCCTGTAGTACTCATTGTTAGAGCTGAGGACATAAGAACCAGAAGGCTGCATTCACCTTGACCACTGCCTGCAGGAACCATATCCTTCCACCTACAGTGTAAAGGGACTGAATGGTTTCCCTTGCCCTAACTTAAGAACTCAAGCGGGAAGCAGACTTTGTCTTGCTAAAAACTCAGACATATGCAAAGAACCTACTCCCTGAGACACTGGTAAAGCACACAGAAATCTTCAGTAACTGTTAGACAGACACACAGCTAAGAACAAAACCAGATGGGGAAAGCATTCATAGCAGTCCAGCTACCTTCAACTCAGCATCAGATTCTGGATAGAAATGGGATGTCCTGGTAACATTTCACCCCTAATGTGATGGGGTTTAATCAAGCAGAGGCTGCAATTAAGAAGCTAAACAATCCATTCTCCAAGCAACCTAAGTAACAAAACCTGATTTCTTGTGAACTGTTTGCTTTGCACCTTAGTTTCTTCTCTCCTCTCAGCAATCTGTTTTCTCTTTGAAATACACTGCAGGTAAGAAACAGCATACCTGTAAATTCACTTAAGGGATGTATGCATCGAGTAGCCAGCCACTAAGTGTATCTACTCCAATAGTGCAACCAGAGCAAAGCAGTCTGCCTGAAGCTAGCTAGCTAGTTCACACTGCATGTTAACTACTCATAATTTATAAATTACGAAAGGAGAGATCTGACAGCACTACTTGTTTTGTCAAATTCTGTGGTCATGGAAAGAGATTTTAATCCAGATGACTCAGAATGACTGTTTCCTCCTAATATCACAGAGTGTGTGTGTGTTCTTTCACTCCACTCTTAACCAACCCACACTTACCTTGTATCTATCAGCTGCTTGATGATATCCAAAGTGCTTTTAGTCTCAGACTTGTCTTCTGTAACCTCTGCAGCGACCTCTGGGATAAATGTGGGATCTTCATGAATGTCAAGAGAACGCATGAGGGAGAAGTTGTTCAGCCTGCAAGAGAGAGAAAGAGAACGCTGGAAGATGCAAGCTCCTCCATGACTAATTTTTCCATACTGTTCCAAATGAGTTTTACCCAAGAACATTTTGTTGCAGCAGTCTGCTCCCACAGCAGGGAGTTGCAACAGTTACAAAATAATCTTTCACACCTTTCTAAAGCCTTGCCGAAGGCAGCACCAAATCTATCCTGCTTGCTTAACAGAGCCTCCCACCTTTCGACATAAAGCCAGCCAGCCTCCATAAATCCAAGCTGGGAAAGAACTGCTGAAAGTTTTCCCATTCACTCTAATCAGATATATCACCCACAGACCAAAAAAGACAGGAAAGGAGAGAAGAGAAGAAAGTAGCATGAGCCATACATTCAAGCACTAAGCCTGCTAAAGCAGGCAACTCTTCAGACTTAATCCATGACCTGCCTCAACAGCTTATTTGCAACCAAATGTAATGGGAATTGGATCAGCACAGGTTCAGGGCTTGGAGTAACACAATGAAGTAAGGAAATCCAGCTCCTATCATAGATGTTAAGAAATGACCTTCTGCAATAACAGCTGTGACAACTGTCTGGGTTTCCTTTACTTAAAAAGCCCATACCCAAAGTAAAAACTCTGGGGAACCAAGCACGTTTGCTATCCTGGAATCTGCACAGGTGATCACCCAACTGCAGGCAATGTATGCATGTCAAGAGTGACCCTGAAGTTCCTGGCACCTCAGCAGCTTGTAGCACAATACACACTTGAAAGTTCAGTTTCTAAAGAAAACCACAAGTGCGACAGAAGGTTATTCATAATGATAATGATAATGATGAATCTCTTTTAAAAGAGCACATTAAAACCTCTGAGCTTCGTGCCTGGTCTCATTTTCCCAATACTACAGTTTCACCACTGCTGGTGGTGAACACTGCAGATTTTCACATCCACAAGCTTTGAAAGACTGCTCTTTAGCAAAGAGCATCGAAGAGCAAAGAGACAACCTGGTGAATTTAGCTTCTATGAGCCTGCTTGAGTGTGGAAAATGCTTAATTTCCTCTGGTAAAGGGTCACCAGAAAACCAGAGCAGTTAAAAAATCTAGTAAGCAAACTGTGAATTAATCTTACTCTTCACTCACTATGAGACTTCCCTCTTTAAAAAGGTCATTTCAGGTAACTTTTAATAGGGAACAACCTTGGAAGAGATAACACTCCCCTCTTACCTTAGTAAAAATGGCAGTAACAAGATCTGTCCAAAAGCCTAGAAGAAGGTAAGCAGAAACACTGATTTGCAATAGCTTTGACCAGGGCATCTTTCTCATGAGACAAGGAATGCTAAATACATTCACAATTGCTGCAGTCTCCAAGCACCCTGCAGAGCACGCACTTATATTTCAGGCCACAAAATTGATCTGAAATGCTTTTCCCACCTCATGCACATTTATAGAATCATAAAGACTGTATTCTCCTGGCTATCCGACAGGAACATTCATTTTTTCTTCCCTGACAGCTCCAGAAAGCCTGCACTTGCAGGCTGCAGCACTGTTAAGAGGCATCTACATAGCTTCTACCGGTGCTCAGAGCATCATGCAAACATTGGATAAGGTAGAAGCTTATTATAATTTAATTTATCTCTCTGTTAACATCTTTCCTAAAGTAAACTGAGTCAACTTGGAAAAGCATGAGAAATGTAGGTAGCAGGCAGCTGAAAGCAGTCTCTGTACACCACGGTTCCCAGTGTAGCAATATCAGCAGTCCCAGGGAGATTAGCCTTGTTCTAGCTTGCTATAATAGCCCAAGAATCAGCTTCCAAAACATGTGAAAGGAGTGCAGCCGCAGCTCCCAGCACAACTCTGAAGCAAGGCTCCCACTCCTACATACATGAAGTTGTTGCTTCACACATTGTGTAAGAATTGGTTTCTATTTGAAAAGGCATTGCTCCTAACCTATGTACAGTGCAACAATAAAATCCAGAGTGAGACTGAGAATCATAAAGCTGGAAAGACCAATTAGATTATCGAGTACAATCATCAGTTCATGCCTGTGACTGCTCTAGAACATGTTCCTCAGTGTCACATCTACCCTTATCTCCAGGGACAGTGAGTCCACCTCCCTGAGCAGCCTGTGCCAACGCCTCACCACTCTTGCTGATAAGACATTGCCTAATATCCAACCTGAACCTTCCCTAGTGGAACCTGAGACCACTCTCTCTCGTCCTATTGCTGTTACCTGGGAGAAGAGGCTTATGTCCCTTCACTGCATTCTCCCTTCAGGTAGTTGTAGTGAGCGATAAGGTCTCCCCTGAGCATCCTCTTCTCCAGTCTGAACAATCCCATCTCCTTCAACCACTCCCCAAAAGATGTGCACTCCAGACCCTTCACCAGCTCTGTTGCCTTTCTCCAAACACACTCTGAGGCCCTGATGTCCTTCTTGTAGCAAGGGGCCCAAAACTGATCACAGTATTTGAAATGCTGCCTCACCAGGGTTGAACGTGGGGGACAATCACCTCTCTGCTCCTGCTGGATGCACTGTTTCTGATACCAGCCAGGATGCCATTGGCCTTCTTGACCACCTAGGCATACTGCTGGCTCACATTCTGCCAAGCATCGACCAACACCCCCAGGTCCTTTACCTCTAAGTAGCTTTCCAGCCACTCTCTCCCAAGCCCTGGGGTTGTGAAGAGCAGGAGCCCAGGACACCACAGAATGGCATAGGTTGGAGGGGACCTTAAAGATCATTTAGTTATGTCTCCATGCAGGGGGAATGACAGGAAAGGAAATAAGCCCAGGGTCACACACACCAGACACATCCAAAGCAAAAAACTAAAAGCCGTTCTGGTCATTACACCCAGGCACAAAACCCCTTAAGAGGTAAGCTCGCATGGCTCCCAGATCCAGGGCAGGTTGCACAATAAGATAAGAGCGTGTACAACCCCGAAACGAGACGCAGAGCAGAGCAGACCCAAAGCCAGCCACTACAGAGACCGACACCAGCAGCCCCCACAAAGGGAAGGAGACACTCCCACACGCGCGCCTGCAGCTGCACCTGCTCCACAGCCCTCCTTGCCAGCAGCCCTCCGAGCACAGACAAACCCCAGCGCAGTCCGAGCCCCGCTGAGGACAGCTGTCCGCAGCCTCTCTGTGAGATCCCCAATCAGAGGGGCTGAGCGATCCCAATTCCCCCGTGCCCGCGGGGTTCCGCACAGCCCGTCCCGTCCCGTCCCCGCGGCGGACATCTTGTGCCCGTGCCCGCTCACCGTGTTAGCCGTGTGTACGAAGAGCCGCAGCCAGAAGCCGCACAGCCTCGGGGCCCACTGCGGAGAGGAGGCGAGAGGTGAGCGCCGGGCCCGCTCCCCGCAGCCCACCGCCCCGTCCACCCCACCCCGCGCTCACGGCGTCCCGCAGCGGGCGAGAGGCTGCGGCTCGGCCCGGCTCTCGACGGTGCAGCGTTGCGGCCGCGCTGCCCGTGTGCCGCCGCACGCAGCACAGGTACAGGGCGGCGGCGGGCAGCAGCGCGCCGAGCAGCAACAGCAACGCCAGCTCCATCGCGTCGCTTCCAGCCGAACCCGGAGCCGGCAATCCGCTATGGCGGCGGGGCGGTGCTCGGCTTCTGCCCGCCCGCTGCCGGCCCCCCGCGGGGCGGGATCGGAGGGTTTCCCGCGCGGCGAGCACTGCCCGCCATGTCCCGCTTCTTGCAGGCGCTGCGCCGCGCCGGCAGGGCTCGGGCGGGAGGGCTGGGCGTGCAGGAGGAGGACGTGTCCCGCTGGGGGCTGACAGGTCAGTGCGCCCGGCGCCGGGGGTACGCACCCATCCCGTGTGCTCCCCTGCAGCCGGTACGACGAGTGGCCCCGGGCCTGTTCTACCACGGCTATCGCTGCCACAGCGGATGTTATGTCCTAGGCTCGCTGCTTCTTACAATCCTTCCCACCTCTTTCAGTCTTTTTACCTTTTCCGTTCGATCTTCAGAGCAGTATCTTGGTTTACTGAGCTGTTGTAGATGCCCCATCCCTGGAGGCATTCAAGGCCGGGCTGGATGTGGCTCTGGGCAGCCTGGTCTGCTGGTTGGTAACCCTGCACACAGCAGGGGGTTAAAACTAGATGATCTTTGTGGACCTTTTTAATCCAGGCCATTCTATGATGCTATGATTCTGTTAAAGCTAAAATGTTTCTGTGCAGCCTGGTGGACTAAACGACTTTTAAAGGTCTCTTCCACTGCTTAAGTTCAGATGCAAGAAAAGATCTTGAAAACTTTGACTTGTGTTTGCTTTGGTACATCATATCCATTAATAAGGGTTGCTCTGTCTTGGTGACAGGGATCTGCAATTGAGATCTGTTCTAGCTTAAGCTGGAAAGCATCTTATTGGAAAGTGGTCATTATGTTCCTGTGGACTGCTATAGAAGAAGATTTCTAAAATAATAGCCTAAAGAGTGTCCCTGGAAGTCATGCTTATGTGTTTAAAATGTGTCTGAAGCTGCAATCATAGAATCATAGAATGCGTTGAAAAGGACCACAATGCTCATCTAGTTTCAACCCCCCTGCTGTGTGCAGGGTCGCCAACCACCAGACCAGGCTGCCCAGAGCCACATCCAGCCTGGCCTTGAATGCCTGCAGGGATGGGGCATCCACAGCCTCCTTGGGCAACCTGTTCAGTGTGTGACCACCCTCTGTGTGAAAAACTGCCTCCTAATATCTAACCTGAATCTCCTCTGAATTCAAGCTGTCTGTCAGGAACATGGCAGCCTGATTATTGCACTGGATTCCATATACAGGCCTTTGTAATGACTTGGGGACATTTTCGTGCATCCAAGTTCCTGAATATGGTTTGATGTAATCTGTTTGCTGTAACAGCAGTGTTTCTGCTCTCTAGCAGGGTAACGCAGCTCCTGCTCAAAGCCTGGCTGCTTTTGCTGTAATGCAGCTGGTTGGAAGGTCAGACCTGTACAAGACCTGCTTCTGGTGACTTCCAGCTGTAACAGTGCATACAGTGTATTGGATGGCTATGTGACATTAACAGATTGCTTTTATTCACAGGCATTAAGCTTCGTCCATATCAATTAGATGGTGTAAACTGGCTGGTGCAATGCTACCAAGTCCAGCGTGGCTGTATCCTGGGTGACGAGATGGGTCTTGGGAAGACTTGTCAGGTGTGTCATCCTCTGAAAAATGACTTTTGCCTAACTTTTTTAGCTCAGGCTTCCCACAGAATGAAAAAAACACCCTAAGCATGTAAGCAGCCACATGCTGAAGTCCTTACTCATAAGAGAGAGCTCTTTTTTTTGTTCCTTAATCATGTAATACTCCTGCTAGGTCCTGAGCAATGCTCCAAAAAAGTTTGAGGAGGGTTGTAAAGCCCATTTTACACAGATGTATGAATGCATAATTCATAGTAGTTTCCAAATAATGTTAACTAGTTAACACAGTGAGTATGGAGCCAGTGATATCATTTCGATGCACCTACAGTAGGATGATTTTTGAGTCTGTCAACATGGGGATTAAAGTTGAGTACACATAGATATTTTTCAGGGTTTTTTAAAATTTTATTTTTTAAATGGGATTCAGTTTTGTTGGAGTGAATGATGATTGTGGTTTGGTTTCAGACGAGTCTTAAATAACAAACTGGCACCTTTAGAAAGTGATGTATGGTAGATCTTTGTGACTATTGGGAAAACATCTTTGGAAAAGGGCTATAGATGTTGAGGTAATGTTTTAGGATGTAAGCTTTTATTTCATTGATGATGGATCTCCTTTGGTATTCTCTTAGCTCTGATTTGTGTTGGAGAACTTGTGGGAAATCAGCCACAAACCTCAAGGGGACCTTCCCCACACTCAGTTTATGCAAGTTCAGGAATTTCCTTGTTATTAAAAAAAATACTTTTTTTCATTGCCTTCTAGACTATTTCTCTTCTTCTTTACTTGACAAAAAAATTAACAAACAAAGAGAGATTCCTGATACTTTGTCCTCTGTCTGTTCTGACTAACTGGAAGGAGGAACTGGAGAGGTAAGTTTAAACAACTGTCCGACTCATTATAGTCTTGAATGATGAGTTACGAAGACTCTCTTCAAATATGCTCAGTCTAGCAATTATTCTTCCTTTCAAAAGGAAGAAAACAAAAGAGGGAAGCTACCTGTATGGGAACTGCTGAGTCACAGCCTGAACCTCTGGTTGATCACCTGAGGTGAGCCATGAGGCAGCCACAGGAGCACAGGTGAAGGCAATTCACCTGTACTGCCAGAAGGGGTGGAGCCAGGCTAGGTCCTCCTAGACCTATTTAAGAGCTGGCTACCAGTGGGGAAGGATCTCTTCTGGAGATCCCCTTTTCTGGTGTTTTTTTTTGTAGGTGAGTCTAGCATACGGGTAAGCCTTCCATTTATTCTCTCCTATTATCTTAGTCTAGTTTGCCTAACTCTCTTGTTCTTTTTGTGATTATGCCCTCTTAATATCCATTGATTATACAGTACCAAACAAATTGATCTATATGCTGCTTGCAGTTAATGCATAGCTTATGCAGTGCTGTCATATCCACGTGTTCATCCAACTTACAGCATTGGATGACTGTCAGTAGATATACCTGCACTAGCTTTGTGCTTGTTTTTTTCTAACCCCCATGTTCAGCCTTTGTTAGGCAAATTCTGCTGAAGACAGCCAGGATTCTGTATGATAAAAGGTAAGACCCAAGCTGAATAGTGTGTTTCTTGGCATGCTTGCATATGCATCTAAAATACCTTATATCCATGCATGCAACCTATATTCACTGGTATGCAGCATCTGGGCTGATGGCATGTTTGCTGTGCCCAGAATCTGTATGTTTTTAGGCTTGAGCCCAAAGATTGCTTTTAAGAGGAGTGCCTGAAAGTTGTAGAATAGAGCAGCTGTATTTCTATGTGGTTGTTAAGCAGTGCTGTGTCAGAAACAAAAATTATTGAGGTTAGATTTTGAAATGATTTGGATAAACAAGCAGCTGGAATAGCTGGGAAAAAGTGCATCTTTGTATGACTTAATATGGTAAACTTCAGTAGTGAACAGCTATGTTGGAACAATAGGCAGGCATTGGTAGTGGGATTAAGTAAGGAAGAACTTTATGGTTCCAACTCTTCTTCCATGGAACTGATTTTTATCTGCTTTCACTCTGAGAGCTAGATTTTTGGAGCCCTGTCTTGGAACTACTTGCTGCAGACATTGTTCATCTATACTTTAGCTACCTCTGGACCAATTTTTTGCTCCCAGCTAGAGAATCATTTGCTTTTCATGAGCTTTTTCAGTTTTGAGTAGCAGACAGTTTGATTGGTTTTCCATCATCTGTGTCGAACTTTGAAATCTAGGAGAAACCAATTTATGTGGCATTTGTCCAAACCAGAACCAGCAGCTCAGGTGCCAGGCTGGGGTGCAAGTTAACCAGGAAGGAGATAGATTCAAGAGCTGAGATCCAGCTCCCAGGAGAACAAGGTGCTATCTTACTTTTGCTGTCTTTCTCTTGACGACAGGTTTGCTCCAGGTCTCTCCTTTGTGACATACATTGGCAACAAGGAGGAGCGATCCGAACTGCAGCAGAACCTGAAAGAGCAATCTCACTTCCACGTGCTGTTAACAACATATGAGGTACATGTTGTCTTTGTCACTTGAAAAGAAGTCTCAGGTTTTTCCTTGCCTTTTCCATTCCTTTGTACACGATGCTTCAGCTTTTGCCTGCTGTACTCTGATCTTCCTCAGTGATTTCCTACTCTGCAGCCCACATCACCTGCTCATCTAAGTTGCTGCAGTTTTTGTGCTCTGAAGATCATCTGATATAACCCTAGCTTTACCACATGGCTGTATCACGCCTTGAATAAACAAATCAAAATCAGAAACATCTTTAACTGACGCTATATGGCATTTTCATTGCCCTTCTATGTTGCCTTACGAATCTTCTGTATTTAATGGAAGACATGCATGTGTGATGTTTATTAAGATTCTATTAATTGGTCGCTGCAGGAACGCTTTGAAAGAGCTTGCTTATGTCTGTACCTCTTTTGCATGCCCTCCTCTGCCAAAAAAGGACTGTAGGAGTTTATATTAAAACTGATTGTAAAAGTTTATATTAAAACTGATGGAATGGGGGGCTGAATCCAATCAGTGCTTTACAGAGAACCAGTAGGATTGCTTCCTTGATCACCGCTTTGGGTTCTGCACGGCCAGGTGCTTAGTTATGTCCAGTGGAAAAAAGCTTTCATCTTGCTCTTATGACTCATTTCCACTCAGGTGTTACTTTGTATCAGTGCTTTGATTTTATTTTAGCAGCCTCTTAACAAACAAACCGATTTGAAATTAAATGAGTAAGCTTCTTTTGTTTCCCCTGCTTGATCTCCTCTTCCTTTTGCCCCTTTGCTTTTCCCCCCTCAAGTATTTTACCATTTCCTTCCTCTAGGAGCCATGACCTGTGCTGATCACTGTGAACCTGCATATTTTTCCACAATGCACAAGCAGGAGTGCAGTGATAAGCCTTGTCCTGAATGTGATAAGTGGAGGTGCTCATGCTAAAGCAATGCTGACAAAACAATCAGGCACATGGAGATACTGACTTAGCTAGTATTTTTTCCATCTCTGTTGTTCCGATGATAAAATTCTGTGCTTCTTAAGGCTTATCAATTGATCCAGTTTCTCTTCCTCCTCGAATCTGAAGTTGGACAAGTAATGTGAGCACTTTAGGATATTAGCAGGTCAGATTAATCCACTGAAGGGTGTGTTTGCTTAGAGTCAGAAAGACTGTAGTGCTGGAGGTGCGTGGTGTTTCTTAGAGAGTGTGAATGATATGAACAAATGTTACAGGCTTGTCTGAAAATTTCCACGAATTCTCTGAGGTTTTACTACTGATGCTTTGCCAGAGGAGCATTAAAATGAAGAGTTGCTAAAGCTTGTGGTTATGTTATCTGTTATGTTACTTTCCTTGGTAACTGACTTCACTCCAATCCTGCTCTATTTCACCAGAGTTTGCAATTAGACAGAAAGATGCTCTCTTTTGAACTATGTGTTAAGTTGTAAGTAACAATTTTATTTTCTTTCACTGCAGATTTGTCTGAAAGATGCAGCATTTCTCAAATTGTGAGTACAGGTTGTTATTACTATTATTAATTTAATTCTGCAAGTCTGTCAGAAATTTCTGAAATGTATGTTTATCTGTGTGCAAGATTCTCCACTCTTTACAAGAGCCAAAGGCATTTTTTGATTATGATCAGACTCCTTTACCAACTTGCAGTGTAGAGTCCTTAATGTCACTTAAGATATATGTGAACAGAGCAGTGGGGAAAACATAGATACATGTGATTCCAGCCCTTGTATTCCACTGAGAAGAAAGGTGTGTGGGTAAGAAAAGCTGGAGGGTCATGCTCTCTCCTCCCTGCCTATCCATCAGCCAGAACTGTGTGGAAGTCACTCTGTAATGTGGGAGTTGAAATCCTCACAGTTAGCAGAAATGAGTATTGAGTGCTGAAAAGAGTTTGTATTAAATCTGGTGGATCTAGTAGGGAGCAAGTGATTCTGCAGCCTATACAATGTGGTGGTGCGTGGACTGAGCTGAAATTCCACTCTTGGATGATTTGCAAAAGGTCACCTGTGTAATCATAGCTCGTCATGGTTGCTGGGTTTTTGCATGGGTGTAAGGGCCTAATTTCATGGCTTTTTTCCACATAATAGATCTCCTTGAATGTTTGGCTAACTTTTACTTGCAAAATTCTTCCCACAGAAATGGAGGTGGAGAAAGAAACAGCAAATTCAAATGAACTTAGTTTTGATTTCAGGCTGTACTTAAGAAGCAGTATTGGCTCTTGAAAACCTGTACTTGTGAATTCCTCCCACTGTTCCACCACATTTGTGATGCTTGCCTGTGGTTCACGGAGTGGGAGCCTCTTGAGTTCAGCCGAACAAATCCATCATTTATTTCAGTCTTTTTGCATTGGCAGTAGTGACTTCTCTGCAAGTAATTGGAGATGCTGTGTTGTTTGTTCACAGTTTTGACTGGGCTGCCTTGGTTGTAGATGAAGCTCACAGACTGAAAAATCAGAACTCTCTGCTTTACAAAACACTTACTGAGGTAAAATATACCAGCTATCTTTTTGCGTATGAGGACTTTTCACTATAGGAGACAGATGTTCTGCTTATTTCTTTGTACTGTATTCTAATTAACCCTGGGCCACAACCAGCTTCTATCATTTCCATCAGAATTGTTGAACAGATCCACATAGTGGCAGAGTGATAAGGGCCTGTGGTTCTGGCCTTGGAGCTGGGCAGTATTTGGAGCTTGTCTCTCATTTTGGCTCTTGTTTGTACTTGACTCACTGGAGCAATTCAAGAGACTGAAAAATGTAAAGAAACTGAGCATAGCACTGAAGCACAGCTGTACTACTGAAGTGTTAGAAATCTGACCAATGTAAGACTGTATAAAGTGACAGAGGGTATCTCCAGATTTGGGAGGGTGAAGGAACCCTTGCCTCACTTACAGAATCACAGAATCACAAGGTTGGAAACGACCTGCAAGATCATCCAGTCCAACCACCCTCCCATTCCTGTCAGTGCCACAAGCTACTAAACCATCTCTCGTAGCTCCGGGACCCTGGGTCATGAACTGTTGATTTCCATTGTCTCACTTAATAGAGCCACCCTTGTTTATTGAAATTATTAGAATTGCTCCAGCTTCCCTTGGGCTGTCCTGGATAAGAAAGTGCCCTTACTTTCTTGTGAATGAAATGAATGCACTTCTTGTCACGGCAGTAAAACATGGATATTACATCAGGACTGGCATCAGCAATGATGAGCTGCAATGCCTCTAAATGTACATTTTTAAAAAAAAAAAAAAAAAAAAAAGATTCCTGAAAAGCTCAGCTCCTGAATCATTTAGAAGATTCAGTTGAAGTTGAAAAGAAATAGCAGTGATTCACCTTAGCTCTCCCGATGTATTTTCTTGAGAAAAGACTTGGTTTTTTTCAACAGTATTCCCAACTCCCTTTCCAGGGATTGCTCTATGCAGCATGGAGCAAATAATGTCACTGTGATTGTCAGAGTAGATCAGAAAGTAGAAATGGAGTGTGCTCATTAGTAATTTCATTTCACTGTCCTATTTCAGCAGCATTTTCTAGTTGTTTGTCATAATAGTGAGCATGCAGTATTGGATCTGGGAATTCTAATTTTGTTTTTTGCATTTTGTTCTTATTTTGCTTATGCTGTCTTCTTTGCACTGGTGCCAGCCTAAGTTTGATAGGGCTGTTTGACAATCACACCATACCATATTTAATATGGTTTTGGCTGGCATTTGCAGTATTCTGCAGGCATTTCTATGCCACCTGTCTTTAGCTAAAGGATAAGAGGGAAATGGGTGGAGCTGTACATTAACTTTTCTTTCCAAATGCTCTCTCCTTATCATTTTGTTTTGATGTTGATTCTTTCAGCTCTCAATAGGTTTCAGCCTGCTACTCACAGGCACTCCAATCCAGAACAGCCTCCAAGAACTCTACTCCTTACTCAGCTTTATTGAACCTGATATTTTTCCTAGAAAACAAGTGAAAGAGTTTGTTGAGTATTACCAAGCAATTGAAAAGGAGAGTGAGCCAGGTAAGTAACAACTGATGCTATACTTGAATCATGACCAGCTGTTATCTTGACTGGGTGGCAGGCACATTGTATAAGTAATAGTTACTGATCTTAGTGTGGCTGCTAAATACTAAGTAAGGTGTGCAACTCTTCTGCTTTCTCTGTAAAACTGGGCTAGGATAATTTCATTAAGATTCCTTTATACACTTATTTTTGAAAGTATAGTTGTGAAGATACTGTATAAATCCCTTATGCTTCATTGGTAATTTGTTATACCTTGCTTCTGAATAGCCAAAGAATTGCACAATCTTCTGCAACCATTTTTGCTTCGAAGAGTCAAGTCCGAGGTGACTGCAGACCTTCCAAAGAAGGTGGAAGTAGTTTTGTACCATGGAATGTCAGCTCTGCAGAGGAAGTACTACAAAGCTATTTTGACAAAAGATCTAGGTAACTGAGGCATTTAAATTCTATTGGTTAATTTTTGGGCTGCTTGATTCATTGATTTTTACCCTGTGCTAGAGGAAGAGATGTATGAATCTAGAGCTGGTCTGTCTCAGAGCTGAGGAGGGACAGCTTCAAGAATCTGCTTTGGATCAGCTAGTAATTAAAAATCTCATGAACAAGTAAGCCTGCTCCTGTCCATTCTTTTTGCATCCAAACAAAAAAGGTTGTACAGGAAATCCTATGTCTCTACAAATTTTCCAGCAGTAGTAGAAATCTCACATAGCAAATTGAAACCTGCTGGATGTAGACTGGAGTGCCTTAGCAAACCACAGGACCATATGGACAATGCAGCCACAGATCCTTGTCCTAACAGCTCACTCCTTGGAACTTCATGTATGAATTAACTGTAACAGAGCATCCAGAGAGATGGAAGAGAACATGTTTTGTTCTCTGAAATCCTCCTTTTTCATTTCTATATACCAGATGTGGTTTGTCAGTGTTTTTGTGTTGTAGGGAAACTGTAACTGGGGGGACAGTGACTCTGTTTCAGAGCTAATGCCTGCTGCATCAAGAAGCCACCAGGCTTTGCATCATCACCATCAAAGCTGAATCTTCTTCTAGAGTTAGCAATGTCCACGTCTCTTTGTTTTCCCCCCAGAAATATGCATCTCTTCTTAACTTCCTGGTTACCCAGGGAGATCTTTACTGCGTTGTATTACTTTTTTGGTTTTGTTCTTGGAAAGTTCAAATGAACAAAATTAGTTTTGATGATTTCTAGATCTATAATGCACTCTTAAGAAAATTTCATTGGCTCTTTCCAAGGAGTTGAGAAAATTCCAGAGGTTTTGACAAGGCAAAGTAGTAAAGGCTCTCTCTCTCTCAAAAAAAGAAACAGAAAAGTGAGGGAATTTTTATTTGGCTCATGAGAACAGGTGTATTAGTCTTGGGATGGAAAGTCAAATACAAAAATGATGTGCGAAGAGTTACTTCAATGCTGCAGCAGTGCAAAGCAGTGCTTAGGTGTTCTCAGTCACACCACTGGTGAAGCATAGGCTTCCCTGCTCAGTTCTTTTTTCTGTGCACTTTGTTCCAGATGCATTTGAAGGTGGAACAGGAAGGAAGGTTACACTTCAGAATGTCTTAATACAGCTTCGGAAGTGTGTTGCCCACCCATACCTTTTCAATGGTAAGAAAGCATTCTTCTCTCTTTTGAAATAGAATTTTTTTTTCTGTATGCTTTTTTTTTTAATTTAAATAATTGCTTAGAAGGGGCAAGTAACAAACAGTATTGCACCAGCTGTGGATTTGTGACCAGCTCCAACGCAGAACAATTCATCAGTGATGATGAAAATAGAGGCTTGTGAAGTTTAAATTTTCCACTTCAGCTCACCACTTGATTTGTCATAAGTTCATCTTCTCTCCCCTAAACAGTGAAATAACATTTCATTTTGTGAGGTACTTCCTGGAGTACTGAGGGTGGTTTTCTTTTTTTGGACAAAGATGATCATTTTTCAAACAAGTATCCTGGGAGTCTGCTTGGCAGTATTTGGCAACGTGGTCATTTAAACGTTGATCACTGAGTTGCTATCTGTATAATTAAGTTCTGAAACCTGTTTCTTTTCCAGGTGTTGAGCCAGAGCCCTTTGAGATTGGAGATCACATTGTTGAAGCCAGCGGCAAACTGTGTTTGTTGGATAAACTGCTTTCATTCTTGTATGATGGGTATGTTGTGTTGGGATGAGGAAGATAAGGTGGAGTTAACACAGGGAGAAAAGATAAACTAAGAAGGACAGTTGCCTTATTTATCCATAGATTGTGCAGGTACCACAACACAAGCACTGCCCTATTTAAAGGATGCTGCTGGCTACCACAAGGAGATCATCTCAGTGCAAACAACTGCATTACAGGCTATAGAGGACTCTCAAAAAATTGTAGCTTCCCTTTAAACATTTCTCAAAACACTTTGCTAATTCTCACATGCTCTCAAATATTGCCTAAGTTATGCTGGGAATCTGGGAGAATATATATCTGACGGGCTTTCAGCATATATGTTTTTATTGAATTTCATGAGAGTAGCTTCCAGTGCATCAGTTTGGGTATTTTGCACTGCAGTGCTTCTATTAGCCCAAGAGGCAGAATGCACAATGAGCCTGAAAAAGAAATTTGACAGGACCAAAGCCCCAGAATAAGCTGAAATTTTAGGTTTGGAACCAATATTCAAAACTCCTGACCTTGACCTCTGGTGACTTCAGAACCTGTAACACAACCTTAAATATCTCCCTACAGATCTCAGTTGGACCAATCAAATCACAGTTTGTGTTCTCATACACGTTCTTGTTTGATGCCTCCTGCACAATTCATAAATTCTACCTGCTTTCTTAATTGGGCTGCAGTTTCCCTCTGAGTACTTTCAAAGCACAGAGCTTTAGAAGGGAAGTTCTGATGCAGTAGTGGAGGGCTCTGTCTTCCTTCTGTACAACATATTGTGAGTGGATGTCTCGCCTCCTTTGATGTCTTTGCCACAAGGACAGCCCTGTGCGACTCCTGAACTTGCAAATGTTGTTGATTTAAACAAAGCACTCTCACACTGTCCGAGGCCCAGAGCAAGGAGAGTTGATTTCTCACTTAAATGCTGTTTGCAATTATATATGGGCACTGAGGGTCATTTGCTGGATGGGAAGTTATATTCTGTTGCAGAGATGCTGATACTACATTTTCCCCTATATTTAAGATGTTTTATGTTATGTTGTTAGAGAGCAATCTAGTGTGGCAAGTCACGTGGTGAACACCCTCATGGCACTACATTCAAACTGTGGATTCTTTTAGCCAGGATTCTCTGGGTCCTCGCCAAGGTGCATTTAGCCAGTAGCAGTGTTGTGCCAGAGCCTTGTTACCTGTGAGTCCACACTCTACACATGGCAGCTGATGCTATCAGGTGGGGCTGTCTGGCTACATTTGGATGTGGGGCTGAAAATGTGAGGGAGTTGGCAGTCACTCTGTGAGGCTTAGTGCAGTGTTGTGGTGAGCTCTTGCTAAGTAACAGTGGCTGGTTGAGCTACTGTAACCCCTCTACTGCTTTGTGAAATGCTGCCAAAGTACAATATTGCTGGTGACATCTCGTATTCTTCTTCCAGTGGCCATCGTGTCTTGCTCTTTTCTCAGATGACTAAACTGCTTGACATTCTGCAAGACTACATGGACTACAGAGGTATGGTCTGCATGGTTTGGCAGCAAAGGGCTTATCTTAATGATCTGTGCCATATAGTGTTAGTCTGGCTTTGGTTGATATGCTTGGGATGGAGAATATGATGGGCATTTGTTTCTTCTTAGTAGACAGAAACCATACTCTTACAGTTGACTGTGACTTGGGATTTGAATTAATCTTTGTGCTAGCTGCCTACAAGGAACTTGCACTTTAGCATAGTTCTTCCAAGTAGCTTGAGCTTTGGTTCCTTGATAAAATCGAGCTAACAGATGGCAGGGTAGCAAAGTTTCATTACATACCCATGGTCCGTTATGTACCTGAGTCCCAAAGTAGCTGTAGTAAAGCCATTAGCATTCAATTCAGTTTGTCCAGTGCAGAACACAAATTGTGCCACATTTATGCCAGGAAATTAGTTTTTGATTAAAATAGTTGTTGGCAGTGAGGCCTCAATGTGACTGTTTTGGCAAGGCTGCCAAAGGGATCTTGAGACATTTTCTTCTGTTTCAACCCACATAACTCCATGTGTACTTAGGACTTCCCATGAAAGAGGCTTTTCTTTGGTGTTGATGGATTTGGACAACTAATGTTGCACTAAAAAGCCAAATGTAAGGCCATTTCCCATACTGCTTGCTTACAGGGAAGCACACATTGAAAGCAGTAGAAGCTTGTATAAGAAAGATATGGTGGTTATTGGCTTGTAGTGTGGAGCCAACAGCCAGCACAGTATAGTCTGAAATGGGACTCTGGGTTAATGTTCTTATACTTTGGCTTTGTATTTCCCCATCTTGTTTCCATGCAGTAAATTAAATGCTAAGAGTTTCTGCTTCAGATCTAGCTAAATTAACCTTTGTTGACAGTCTGAGAGTCAGGGTCACTGGAAAGAAAAAGAGGAGTTGAAGGTGATAAAATGCAAATCAGAAACATACATTTTGTTGTTTGGAAAGGCTATAGCTACGAGCGGCTGGACGGTTCTGTAAGAGGTGAAGAGAGACACCTTGCCATTAAGAACTTTGGTCAACAGCCCATCTTTGTCTTCCTGCTGAGCACCAGAGCAGGTAAGTAAGGAAGAGAGAGACAACACATGTCTTGTTTCTGCACACTTTTGCTGTCTTGCAAAATTTCAGGGTGTTCTGAATCCTCCATATTCTGCTAATATGGAGGATTTTTGAGAGAAACAAGGCACATCCTTCTTAGTGCCTTAGGCTTCTTAGCTAGGAGACCCAATTCCTGTGCTTTCCTTTCAGCAACTGATGCCAAGATGCTTTTCAGGTCGCAGCTGTTTGAGTAACTTTTTTATTCTGAGCTCTGCAATGCCTTTCCCTGTGCCAGGTTAAACTGAAGGAATCTCACTAGCATTTTATTTCTGCAAGCACTTTATTTCTAAAGTTTCAGACTTTAGGCAGAAATAGACTTCCTCTAAGCAAGCTGGTAGAATTGCTTCCTGAACATGGACGTACACTCTGGCTGGCAGACAGACTCAGCTGAGAGCTTTTTACTTACCAGAGGCTGCAAAGAACACCACAGGAGTACCATCTGTATTTTGCCTCCTCTTAGCTCCCCAGGCATATCTGTGTCTCTTGAATGATTTCAGTTCTGCCTGTCTCTTTATTCAGACCAGCACAAGGGCAGGCTTCTGCTTACCTTCAGAAAGAGGATCAGTACTACTTGATCTCAAGCATCAGGCTCTTATTATGTCTTCTTCCTTTGGGCTTCTGGTCAGACTTTCCTGAATGAAACTGGCTTTGATAATATTGCAGGGCGTGGAGAGGAGTATATTGAGACTGCAGAGAAGCACCTAATGCTTAGTGTAAGAAATAAAAGCTTCTCGTAACACTGTGCCTGAACTCTTCCTGCCCACGTCCACCAGAATCAAATTGCTTTTTAGTGCTCAGTGCTACGTCTGTCATATTCTATCCACCTGGGAACAGCGGTGTGAGCCGTCTTTCCATCCTTATGTTATGGGCAGAGATTTTTCAAGTGCATGACTGTCTCTACTTGCAAGATTATTCTGATTATTGTGAAGTACTCAGCACAAGCAGGAAAGAATGTACTTGAACAGGTTCCACCCTCTTTAGCTGTAGTATGTTGTCACTATAGTAGATATTATAAAAAAAAATAACTCTAAAGTTTTTTCTTTTCATTCCATGAGAGTGAACTCTAATTTCAGAACCTTTTGAAGTCACATATGTACCTATGCTCTGGCTGTTGTATGATTGGGTGTGGTGTTTCCCACTCTTTCAGCAGTGTATTTACCTGTTGTTACTGGGCTTCAGCCAAGTCATAGCTTGGGCAGACCTTTGTATCCTCAGTAAAGCCAGTTCTTGCTGCATTAGTCTTTCTGACAGCTGAAGAATATGTCTATGTTGTCAGTCTTGACAACCTATTGCCTTTTTATTGATTTGCTTGCATCTTTTTTTTTTTGTTCCCCTACAATGCACAGTGCAGCTCTGTTTTGAGCTGTTGCAGAAAGCACAGAGAAATACAGAAATACCAGGCTTATCCATCTATTTGGATCTTTGTGAGACTCAGACTTGGGGCTGAGAGATAAATTGAATATAGTTGATCAGATCTGACAGAACCTTGCATAGCATAAATTCTCCAGCTGCGCCTTTCTTTTCTGCTGCTGACGTACTCTGTGATCTTCTCTGTTCATAGGAGGAGTTGGCATGAACCTGACGGCAGCAGATACAGTTATTTTTACTGACAGTGATTTTAACCCACAGAACGACTTGCAAGCAATAGCAAGAGCTCACCGGATTGGGCAGCATAAGTGAGAAATGTTGCTTCTTCTCCTTAGGTTGCTTAATTTACTGATCCCCCTGTGTCTCTTTCCCTATTCATAAGCAATAGTGTTAAAAGGTGTTAAGAGGGTGATAGATTGAAGGTCAAAGAAAGAGAGCAGAGATAATTTTGTCTCTGCTTTTCTTCTGCAGCCTTATGCAGTCCTACCCTTGTCATGTGTCTAAGATGGGGGCTTTGTAAATTTAGAGGAGGAGATGGAATCTGCAGGATTGCCTGCACTCTTGCAGCAGGCATTCGTCCTGTGTCAAGAAGCAATTGCTTCAGCATTATACTTATCACAGAATCATAGAGTGGCCTGTGTTGAAAAGGACCACAATGATCATCTAGTTTCAACCCCCCTGCTGTGTGCAGGGTTGCCAACCAGCAGACCAGGCTGCCCAGAGCCACATCCAGCCTGGCCTTGAATGCCTGCAGGGATGGGGCATCCACAGCCTCCTTGGGCAACCTGTTCAGTGTGTCACCACTCTCTGCTGTTGGTTGATTTTGCTCTTGCCTTTTTATCCCTACCAAAAGATTGGGTAAGGGGATCATGTGCCATGCCAGAAAACCACTTTAGTGCACCTCAAACGAAGAAAATAATAAGAATTTTTTTGGCTTTTTGAAGGCCTGTAAAAATTATTCGCTTGATTGGACGAGATACAGTTGAAGAAATAATCTACCGAAGAGCTGCTTCCAAGCTTCAACTAACAAATGCCATTGTAGAGGGAGGTCAGTTTGCCTTGGGAGTACACAAACCTCAGGAAGCATCAGATTTACAGGTAAAATAGAGCTAAACCCTCGAGTTGACTTCAGTAACATTCTTACAAGTGTTGGAGTGTTTCTCTGTTTTTCACATCTGTCTGATGTAAACCTGTCAAGACACTTCAGGTGGGGAGGATATGCATTGACGTGACAGCTTTTGCATGCGTCCTAGGAATCAACATTGCATTCCAGGTCCAGTCAAGATTTGAAATTTGAAGACAGTTTTTAGAGTTTAGAGATGCATCTGTTGCGTAAAAAAAAAAAAAAAAAAAAGTCCTCTTGGAGAAGAGGAGAAGGCAAGAATATCCCTTGTTTTACTTGTATACTTTTTTATTATATAACAGGTCTGAAGTGGAGGCTCACTCATTGTTTCTAGGAGCTTATCCGTCTCTCCTGCCCTTCTCTCTCAAACAGAGCTAATGATAATTACTTTGACAACTTTTGATCGCTAGTCTGCTAGTTCCAAAGGTTAACCTCTTGGCAGATACAGTGTCTCAGGAGTCAAGGTGTGATTTATGATTCTGACCCAAAAGCTGAGTTTTAGGCTAAGAGCTTTGGTTGAAAACATCAAGCAAAGTGAAATTTGGAGGGATGTATCTCCTTGTATAATTGATAGATATCAAGATGTTACAATCGCAATATAATCAAGAGAGTTAGGCAAAGTGGACAATGATAACAAAAGAGAATAAATGGAAAGCTTACCCTTATGCTGGGCTCACCTACAAAACACCAGCAGAGCAGATCTCCAGAAGAGATCCTTCCCCACTGGTAGCCAGCTCTTAAATAGGTCTAGAAGGACCTAGCCTGGCTCCACCCCTTCCGGCAGCACAGGTGAATTGCCTTCAGCTGTGCTCCTCTGGCTGCCTCATGGCTGGCCTCAGGTGATCAATCAGAGGTTCAGGCCGTGATTCAGCAGTTCCCATACACTCCTCTATGGAGGTAAACCTGGGAGAGGCTTGGAATTAATGCATCTTTTCCCACCCTCTGCCCCTTCATCAGCATGTACCTCAGTAGTTATAGGGTGAAGTGGAACTGAGCCCAAAGGAAATTCCTTGCTGACATTATGCTCCCTGTAAATTTTTGTGGGATATAAGATTTTATTTTATTTTATTAAGAGGTGGGGCAAAAAGCCCAGATTTTTTGGCTATAAGAAAGTTTCTTGAGTGCAGTCAATTATGCCATTTTTGTTATTTGGCCTGTAGAGAAAAATGGCCTTACCAGTCTGAGTATGTTTGGGGGTGATACATTACAGGGGCCTGTCTCAATAGGTGTTGAGACAAATGAGCATGTTAAAGTGCAAGTATTTTGACAGGTAGTACAAAGGATTAGATTTCTTCACTTTTACAACCTTCCCATTTACGTCTGAGAAGCTTGAGTCATAGGGATGCGTGTGGAAATAGAAGATACTCATACTGAACTTCCTTTTCTCGTTGATAAAGCTGAGTGAAATCCTGAAATTTGGCTTAGATAAATTGCTGTCCTCTGAGGGAAGTACTGTCCAGGATGTGGAGCTGGAAAACATCCTTGGAGAAACAAAAGCAGGGAAGTGGGTAATGGATGTTGTCCTGCCATGTGAAGAAGAGAAGAAGGAGGATGACACAGAAAGTAAGTTACAAATTGAAATACCTATGGAGTGCATGACACTTGGGAACTAGTAGAGGAGGCTTCCTAGGGAAGGGTGGTATTTTTCAGGTAACAAGAAAACTGGGCTGTCCATGATCTCAATTTCTGAGCTTAAATTGGTCTTTTTCTTCTTTTTGCAACCTTGTTTGCCTGAAATGTTGATAACAGCATGTGTCCGGCTTGTTGGCCAGCGGGTCTGAATTCCTTAATGTGTTTCACATATTTTGAGACCTCACAAAAGAAGAAATACTCAAATGGCAGCTGCTATTATTCTCATGGAGAGTCATTAAGATAGAATTATGGACATACAGAGATAACAATAACTTAAGGAAAAAGTATATAATAACTCTTTTGTATCTGTCTCCATACAAAAGATTATTGGCCACGAAAAACACAAGTTAAAATGACCTTAAAACTCAAAATATGAGATTAGAAAAGCAGAGCCATTGAATCTGAACAGCTAGAACAAACCTATTTTGTCTTTATTATTCTACTTTCCCATAAAAATGTACCTTAATTGTGATTAGTTTTCTATTATATGAGTAAATTTTAAGGATACTTTCTTGTAGTACCATGAGACAGACTGACTTTCTGCTTTGAGTACACTATAGCACTTAAATACAGATCTGTGACTGAAGCTTTTGTCTGAGGAAGCAAATCTTGATTCTGTTCTTTTAACATTATGTTGACTCTGGTCATACATAAGGCAGTAAATGTCTTTTTCTGCTGAGGGTAGAACAGTGTAACAGAGAAGCCTAATTGTTTTTGGTCTTGCTGTATATTTCAAGTGTTAGTGGCTTTCAATTCCTTTTTATACTTGTAAATTTTTTTTGAAGATCACATGTATGTGTATGAAGGCAAAGATTATTCAAAAGAACCCAGCAGAGAAGATAAAAAAGCATTTGATCAGCTTTTGGATCTTCAGAAAGCCTTGACCGAAGAGACCAGTAAAGAAGGGAGAGCTCTCCGAAACAAAGCAAATGTAAGGCAAAAGACAGGACAAAGCATATGATGCTCTTAACTGCTTGCAGAAAATGAAGCTGACAGTTTCCTCTCTTTACTTGCAGCTCACAAAAAAAAAAAAAAAAAACATGTTCAAAGATTCAGATGCCATTGTAGTAAGGTTGGCTCTTGAATCTGAGGGTTGGACAATTCAGCGATTCTGGCAACAGATCATAGATGGAATGCTGGGCACTAATATAAACTTAGATCACAAAACCACCCATTTGTTTGACATCTAGGATCTGATGGTTAAGAGCTGTGGGCAAGTAGACAAATGGGAAAGGAATGCAGGAGGAAGTTCTTTACTATGAGAGTGGTGAGGTGCTGGAACAGGCTGCCCAGAGAGGTTGTGGATGCCCCGTCCCTGGAGGTGTTCAAGGCCAGGTTGGATGGGGCCCTGGGCAGCCTGGTCTGGTATTAAATGGGGAGGTTGGTGACCCTGCCTGTGGCGGGGCAATTGGAGATTCACAATCCTTGAGGTCCCTTCCAACCCGGGCCATTCTGTGCAGCATAAAGTTGGCACCAGACATGTGCTTGAGATAAGCATTTTGTTTCTGAATTGCAGCTTTCTTTCTCTAGACTCTTCTTACAGGCCTCAGGGACCAGTCAACAAGGAGGAAACACTTGTTGAGTGCAGAGGAGCTGGAGACTAGGAGGAAGAAGCGTCAAGAAGCAGCTGCAAAGAGAGCAAGGCTTATGGAGGAAAGGAGAAAGGCAAAAGCAGAGGCAGAGCACATGAAAAAGTATGGCTTATACTGCATCAACTACTTTTAAATTGGTGTCTGTTACAGGGTGCTCTAGAAATGTGCTCTGTATCCACTCTGGAAGGTGGGGCTGAGAGTGAGGGGAGGAGAAGATGACAAAATGGCTGCAGATCAACCTCTTGAGAGAGTTAGCTTCATATTCATCAGCGTATTTCTGAATACTTCACATCTAATTTAACTCATCAAGACTGGCCTGAATGAGAACCTCATATCTGAGTGTACAGTGAGCTTTTGGGGCAACTTAACTACATCTGAAGTGTCAGACTTGGTTCCTGTGTCTCATTCCACTATCAGTAACTCTTTGGCATGCATATTAACTAACTTCTTCTTCTTTCCTATCTATTTTTCCTTTTCACCACTGTGAATAACTCCTTCCGCTTTGTTGTATACTTACTTTTTCTATGCCTACAATCATTTTATCACACCAACACACGGCACTTAAAATCACAGATACCAGCTGGGGTAATCTTGGTTCTTATCTAAAATAAAGGAGGGCAGCAGAGGGAATGCAGATCAGGATCTCCAGTGTTTTGCTGTAGTCATTTAAAACAGGGTGTAGAACCCCTCCCCCCCCATCTTTGCTTATTTTCATTGAATTTCTTCTCTTGTTTCAGGATGGCTTGGTGGGAGTCAAATCATTACACATCTACGTGTCTCCCTTCAGAGGAAAGTGAGTCTGAGGAAGAGTTTGAGGAGGGAGAGGCTGAGCTGAATGTAGATTTGGATTACAGAGATGTGGACCTAAACTGTATCAAGTACGTCATGGGAGATGTCACCCACCCCAAAGCAGAAGAGGAGGATGCCATTATTGTCCACTGCCTAGGTAGGACTTATGACAACAGAACTGTTGTAAAGTGGGGTGGGCGAAGGCCTGAGCAGTACATCCTAGCTTGGTACTTTTTAACTCCATACCAGACTGAAATCATTTTGAGTCTGACTTGATCTTGAGTGATGTAGAGGCAGTACAGACTCTACTTCACAATGTATAACCCACACAAGTGTTAGGAAGAGATATATGGGTCTGTGTTTCTGGGTGAGCCTCTTGAAAGATATGTCTAGAAACTGTACTTCTGTGAACAAGTGGGGACAGTGCCTCTGAAGGTGAAGGCCTTATATTCATCCCATGTAAGCTGTAAGGGCTGAACTGAGATATTGAAAATCGCCTCCCTTATGCAGTCAGCAGAGAGAGATGGACTATTTCAGAGGCTGAGGTTAGAACTGCACTCCATGAGAGGTGCTTGTCTCTCCGCAATGACAGTACAGAGGTTCTAAGCTTGTTGCTAGTTTTAGGACCTCTGTCAAGACACTGAAGGTGAGGGAGAGAAATTCAGGTTGCAGAGTTCTTTCAGAATCAGTGTTGAAGCTCTTACCAAGGCCATAGCAGAATCTTATAAGCTGCTTTGGCTTATGTTAAACTCGGCATTTCCACTTTAACCACGAGTTTTTATGCCAAGTGACAAGGAAAGCCCACAAATAACAAACATCTAGTTGTGGGAAGCCCAAAACGCCAATCTGGGGACGTAATATGTGCGTGTTCTCTCTGGGTATGAGAGTACTGACATTTTTATGTGCTCATTACTATGATAAATACTTGGTTGAATATCCACAGTGGGCAGGCAGAAGGAATTCTTATTGCAGTCTTTTCAGGGAATTGTGACAAGTTTGTTTTTCCTCAGTGGCTGAGGTTGATCCTTTAGGATAGTCCCTTGCAAGCTGGTTCACTTCAATTCACCTGTGGTTCTCATATCTGTTTTTGATGGTGATTCATTGCATTTGGCCAGAGTAGGCCCCTTTTCTTTCTGGGATGGTCTTCAATGTCAATTTCTAAAAAACTGATCTGTCATTGCATTCTAGATGACTCTGGTCGCTGGGGAAGGGGTGGTTTGTTTACAGCTCTGGTGAGTCGTTCTGATCAGCCAAGAAGAATATATGAGATGGCAGGGAAGATGAAAGGTAGGTAAGAGATTAAAACATGACCCTAGGCGAAGATGCTTAAGAGTTTCAATCCCCATGATGTTGCTGGAGTGAGGAATCTAAATACCCTTGTAGTTGTGTTTTTTAGCTCTTTCTCTAGATATTTGTATCCTTAGCTCTTCAAGCAGTTTGACTTGACTTGCTGGGAGTCTGGGAACTCTGCATAGGAGTTAGTTGATCTGATCAATTCTGCAAGTTGTCAAAAAATAGAAAAAAATCACCATTCACATGTTATTTTTCCTCATAGAAGGTAGGGCCCATCATCTTTGTCAGAGTGCTTTAAGAAGGATGAAAGACATCTGAGTCAGTGTCCAGTTGTAATTTTTATTCTCTCCAAACATTAATCTTCTCCTGAACAAGTGTTAGCAGTTTTGAGCTACCTGCAGCTGATAAGAATGCCCATCTTGCTGTAGAAGGACCTGTTGGTTTTTTTTTAACCTTCTGGTTTATTCTTGTTTCAGTGTCTTTCTTTCTGTCTGTGGTTTTTAACTGGGCAGTGTGTCTCTGTGTGTTGGGGTGGGTTTATGTCTGTCTTGTTTCCTTGGGCTCTGACTGTTGAATCCATTATGAAGAGACAGACAAGAAGAATAACACAGAACATGATAGTGAGTGAACACAGCAGAGATTTCACTACTGACTCTTCAGGACTGATTTATTTATTTTTGTTTTTCTTATGTTCTTATTTTCTGGGCAGACCTGCAGTTAGGAGGGACCCTATTATTTCCCATTGATGATAAAAAATCCAGGAGAAAAGGACAAGACTTGGTGAGAATGAGAAGATCCATTTTGAATTGCTCTCCTTACATGATTTTGAAACTGTGTTTAGTGAACTTAATGTCTTTTTTCCCAATAATAATGTCCCTGAATACTGAAAAAGGCTGAATTGCCATTAGAGGAAAAGATGAGAGTTTTATTTAGAGTTTATTAAAGCTAATTGTTAATAATGCAGTTTTCCAGCAACTATTGCTGTGTCTCTTAGCACTGTATTTAGACTCCATTTCATTTTTTTGTGTGTTTTCTCCTTAGTTGGCCTTGATTGTAGCTCAGCACCGGGATCGGTCCAACAACTTGTCCGGCATTAAGCTGTCTGCTTTGGAAAAGGGCCTGAAGAAGATTTATTCAGCAGCTAAGAAAAGGAATGGTAAGTGGTTGTGTGGCGGAACAGTGACTCCATAAATACATGTGTGATGATCAATTTCCACCTTTATTATTATTTTTTTCTGAAGTGAAGTAAGATTGAGATTTCCATGGATATGTTGCGTTTCGAATTATTCCTTCTGGTCTTGTTGGGTGGCTTGAACTCCTTATCTAGACTGCTTTCTGTAAGAGTATCTTGTCCTAAAGAGTGTCTTTCTTCACTTCTCAGCAACAGTGCACTTTCCACGTATTGGGTATGCAACAAAAGATTTCAACTGGTATGGTACTGAACGGCTCATCCACAAGTACTTGGCAGCACGGGGTATCCCCACACTCGTGTATCCTTTCATAATAAGTTTGATTTGGTTCATAATCTGATTCTGGAGTGATCCCCTAAATATCTTGGTGGGTAAAAAGCAAGGAAATGAGGCAAGAAACAGATGCCACGATCCAGCTGAAAACTCGATTTATCTGACTTCACTATCATCCAGGTACTCGTTATATGGTAAGGACATACTGCTTTAGGCACTAAAGATAGATTAAAGTGATTCAGTATGTCTCTCAGAATTTTTTTGAAACTAGAGGCTAATTTTTTATTGACAGCCATCAGCTTGAGCTGCATACATCACGTGTGATGGAAATAACTGAAATTTCAGAATAATGGAAGTGACTCAGAAAGTAGCAAAACTGAGGAGGTTGGAAAAAAATACATTACAGTGTTCCAAGCAAACTATATCTTGATTCTTTGGCTGAACTTGGTGGAGTTGGTGTGTTTTGGGACAGACTCTCGTAACCAAACAGCTCACTCCTTTTGCCTTACAGGTGAGGAAACATATTTATCTTTTTTGTCAATTCTCTGCAAAAACATGCTTTTCTGTAGTGCTGCTGTCAGCAATGCTGTGAAACTGAAAATCTGAAAGAGAGACAAAAGTATACTGCCTTCTAGGTGCATTCTGCCTCCTTGCTTTGTAAATCTCTGGGTGGAAGATCTAGCATTCCAAAGCATTTCCTTGACACTTCTTTTATTAGATACTACTTCCCCAGAAATAGAGGGTCTGCTTCACAACCATCTTCATCAGTAACAGCCTGAAAGCCATGAAGACACAAAATTTTACTGAGAAACATGCACAAAACCCAAGGATCGTTTTAACTTCACGTAGACAGTCTTCAGTATGCATCCACTTCAGAAACATATCTTACACAGCCTTTTCTTATCTCTGTACCTCTCTGCTTTTATTGGTCATAACATTTATGTATTGTCAATGGCTCTAAAATGGAATTACACTGCTTCAGAGTTCAAAGAAACTTGGGACAAGGATGCTGGCACGATCCTAAATCTGTTTTGAAGATGGAAAATTAAACTTTCATCTATGGTCACTAGTTATCTCTTACATTATTTTATTTCTGGGGCTTGGAATGCAGTATCACTAGTTAGCAGCTCATTCATCTTCAGAAAAGCATTCATTTCTTACATAAGTAGGCACATATTTGTGTTTACACCCAATGATATTTGCATGGTAGAAAGCACACACGCAACCCTTTGGACCAATCAGAGGATTGGGAACATGTAAAAAACAGTATCATACCTCGGAATGAATTAAAGAGACTGGCTAAGCATGGAAATAATCATTAATTGTCCACTTAAAATTTGGCTATGAGTAAGAAGGATCACACTAGCTCTCCTTAAAGCAAAAATGGCAAGAAGCAATTTGATGGTGAAAGAACTTTGCCTGTTTAGCTTGAGTGCAGAATGAGGAGGAAAAGGAAAGCTTTGAATCTGAATCAAAACATCCATGGTAACACTAAGCAGAGAACCCTAGGAGAGGACTAGGTTCGAACGCAACCCTGAAGTGCAATGGCAGGGTAAGAGGTGGAGGCCTTGCAAGGGAATTAGCAATCTGTAGCTGAATGGTTCAGACGAAAACGCTCTTTAGACTTCATTCAGGCACTAGACAAAATTGCATTCTTCATTTGTTTACAGCTCTTCTGTTCCTACAGACCTCGGAACTGTACTGTCTATCACAATTTTAGATATAAATACTTGCACATAGTTTAAGCTTAATTTAATTTGCATTAAGAAAGCTTTCAAAACACTGGAACAACCTCAAGACAGAAAGTAAGGGATTGTTAGCTGATCCATCTCCATAAGGAAGCTACAAAGTTTAAAAGCCACACTGCCATATCTTTAGTAAGAAAAAGCAATTTTTGTCACCTGATACAGAGACTCTTCCCATGCCTTAAATCCAAAGTTCTTAAGTATTCTGTAAAATGTTGTACCAGAATCTGCCTGCTATAAAAACGTAAAAGAAACTCACTAAACTAGCATCTACAATGACCCTACCCAGCATCAGCCTTTGAATGATGTTTTCAGACATCAGTTTGCACAATCATTTTCCCACAACCAATCCAAAACTGCCTCAACGAGGAGTTATGTAGACATTGTATTTCAAGTTCCTGAACTCCAGACAAATTCAAAGAATCTGCCTCTTCAGCAGAAAAGTTTGAGATCTGAGAATCTTCCGTTCTGGCCATCCAACAGCTCAGATATTTCCCTGCTATGTAAATGTGCAGCTCCATGGGAGCTCCCACTAAGCAGCTCCGAACCTTTTCAAGTAAAGGTTTCAAACGTACTGAGTTATAAAAGCAGAAAAATCGTGGAGTGTTCTGACTCCTCATTCAGTACTGATCACAAAAGAGCCAACATGGCATCATCATACCTCGAGTACTGTGTTCAGTTTTGGGCCCCTCACTACAAGAAAGACATTGAGGCCCTGGAACATGTCCAGAGAAGGGCAACGAAACTGGTGAGGGGTCTGGAGCAACAAGTCTTATGAGGAGCGGCTGAAGGAGCTGGGATTGTTCAGTCTGGAGAAGAGGAGGCTCAGGGGAGACCTCACTGCACTCTACAACTTCCTGAAGGGAGGTTGTGGTGCAAAAGGGTCTGGCCTCTTCTCCCAGGCAAATAGTAGGACCTGAGGGAACGGCCAGAAGTTATACCAGAGGATGTTTAGGTTGGATATTAGGAGAAACTTTTTCTCTCAAAGGGTGGTCAGGCACTGGAATGGCTGCCGAGGGAGGTGGTGGAGTCTCCGTCCCTGGTAGTGTTCAAGAGGCGCCTGGATGAGGAGCTACGAGAGATGGTTTAGTGCTTGTGGTACTGATAGGAATGGGAGGGTGGTTGGACTAGATGATCTTGCAGGTCGTTTCCAACCTTGTGATTCTGTGATTCTGTGATTCTGTGATCATTTGACCTTTTCACCTCTTTCAGATTTCATCCCTATATTTCATAGGGATTTCATATATTTCATCCCTATATACATCACAGTATATTTTTCTTCACCAGCTTTTAATGGTTTCCTTGTACTGTCTAAATGCACACAAGCCTCTCAGTGGAAAGAAAGTTAAGATGTCTTTTAAAAGGAATTAATGAAAGGAAATTAATGACACCATATGACACCTGCACAGTGTAAACTGTTACATATTGTTCCAGTTCCCCAGAAGCCCAATTGACTTGCATTTGTTCAAATATAAAATTTAACCACATAATGATGCACTTACGACCTAGCAGAATCCTGACCAGAATTCTTGGCAAAGGCTTGCAAGGCTGCTGAAATTTGAGACTGGTTTTATAAATGACAGCCTTCCCACAACTGCTTTTGCATTACACAGTTCTTTGACTGCTGCAGCTGTTGTATTTTTTCATTTGTTGGCCAGAATGCTGTGTGAAAGGTACCATCACCCTTTGATCCAACTAAAGAAAATCTTAGTGCAGATTTTTTGATGTTACCTTTATTGCAAAGATCTTTTCTGAGTTGTTTGGTTTTTTGTTTTTTTTTTTTTTTTTTTTTTTGTGCTATTGGCACTGTTGCCTTTAGTGTGTAGGGTACAACCCAACAAGAGTAGCTCTTATAGCAGGTGTTTTGTCCATAAAGAAAGACAGTGAATTGCCAAACTTTAATTCATTGGTAAGCTCAGCTTCCAAAAGGAAGTCACCTCACAAGCAATGGAAAGTATGTCTTTAAACATCTAATTGCCAACACGCTCTTCACTTGTTGAATCTACACTCTGTAGCAATATCTGTTTACTTAATATCAAGCCTGACACTTAGCACGGTTCATCTTGCTGACTGATGTTCTCCGTGCTAGAAGGAGCCTTCCCAAACTGGACTTTCTGTTGCGTGCTGTTAGCTGTACCAGGAAAGCTGAAGTGATTCATTACCTTCTTTGACCCCGCTGAAACTACTGCTGCAAAGCCTCGCTGTGGGTGTAAGACCTTTTCTTTGGCTTCTCAGAGGAATAATGCTTGTTGTATTTGGCAAAGGGCTTGTGGGAGCAGAGTCTGACTGTGCAGCGTTCCTGGGGTGAAAGGTGGTGGTGAATAGATGTACATGATGTTTTATTCCTTAGATGAGCTGGCACTCTTCCAGCTGGCCGGCTGGTGGCACTGTTAATCAGCTGCAGCAGCACACGTTGCTCTCGGGCCTCTTTTCAGAGAGCAGGGCCACGATCTCCTGCCTGGAAAAATATGAACTCCTTGCCAGAATGAGTGTGTCAGTTATGCTTTTCTCTTGGTCAGCTTCAATGAACGCTTAATGTGTAATTTCGGTCTGAAGACTCAAGCTCTGTACCTCTACCTCTTGATTTCCTTCATATTTATTGCCCTTAAAAAGGTTTAATTCCCGAGTGTTCCAGATTGTGCAGATTTGTTCTGCAGCTACGTGCACAATTGTGACCCAATCTTAGCCCAGCTACGGGTTCTCTGGCCACCATGCAGTTACACGTGACCGAAGTTTGTAAGCACTGAGCATAACCTATACTGCAACTACAGCCAGGTATTCCTAGTTGAGACCTTATGGCTTCCTTCTCATAGAAGTTGGGACTCTGCTCCTGTCCTGTGTCCCCACCCCTTTAGCACATCTGACAGAGATATTATGGAGAGGAGGGCACGATTTCTTGCTTATTAATATCCCTTACCCTCTAAGTTAATGCCCACAGGGGGCTGAAAGGATCGTGTCACATGCAGGGGATGGTGCAGAGCAGATTCTAGCCCTCTAACTTAGAGATAAGTCAGTCAACAGACATCCTCTTTTCCCCTTCTATTCTTCTTGGCCAGTAATTTACCTTTTTTTTCCTTTTGAATTTACCTAGGATATGCTTCTGGAGGGGATTGTTTTTTTCTTTTTTGAACATTAAAGTTTACAGAAGCCAAAGGAAGGTCCTACCTCCAACTGCCTCGAATCTGAAATAAGATTTCAGCTGAATCCTGAACTGTGTTTTGTAGGATTTCTGCCAAATGAAGCTTTCCTAGTTTGCTACCCACCACCATTTCTTTTTATTTGGGCAGAAATTGTGTATTTTGGATGATGAATTCCATGAAGGGCTCTGTAGCTTTTTTGCTAGTTGCTATGCAAAATAAATGTCATGCTGTTTCTTCAGCTGTGCAGTGCTACGCATTTTCCCTTTCTAAATAGCAACCACCCAAAAAGGAAGGAAGGTGTTTCTTTGTACTTATGTCCCCCTGGCCTTCCTCTTCCTCTAAACAAGATTTTCTGCAGCATAAAAGCTGAACTATGGCTTCACGTGCATATCTGTTGTTGCACATTTACTCAGGCTTCAGATGTATGCTGGTAGATGGAGGTCTCTGGCATGGAGGGAGGTCACTGTTTGAATGGGCTACACAAGCAGTATCATCCCAGAGGACCTGTGAAGGGGCATCCAGCTCTCTTCATCCCATGCTGGAGGGTCAAGCTGATGCCATGTAAGACTGAGCAGTAACTCAAACTAGCCCAGCTTGTGCTTATGTTTCTTACTTGAGACGAGTCCCTGCCTCTTATTCTCTCAGAGCATTGTGCACACAAATTCTAGTTTAGGTGAGGAAGCTCTGTGGCCTCCAACTTGAGAATGGTCTTTTCATCCTATGCAGTAAGCAGTAAGAAAGTGCAGAAACAGGCCAAGTTTTACAGATGGATGCGGATCTGTGATTTTTATTTATTTTTTTTTGTTGTTGTTACTGAGTACCTCACTGTGTGCTGGGGAAGGTGGAGTTTGGATTTGGGGAAAACAAAGACTAGTTTCCATGGTGACAGGAAAATCTACATCAGTTCCAGCCTCAGTATCTTAACAAAAATATTCTATGTGTCTCCAAACAAGGCAGAATCCAGCTCACAAAAATGATCAGTAGAAAAATGTAATGATAAATAGTCAGGTGTATTTAAAACCAAGTGAATCTAATGATCAATGGAGGGAGAAAAAAGAAGCAAACATTTTTAGCAAAGATATGATCTAAAAGTGTAACCTAACAATTAAAGTTATGTGAAAACTCCCACCACTTTAGAACAGATGATTTTAGAAGAATACATGGAGGTTTAGTTAGGTAATTTGACGGGATAGCTGGCTGGCCATGAACTATGATCGGAAAACTAAAATTTAAGACAGAATGACTCAAAACACGAAGGGGTTTGTTATAAGAAGGGATAATGTCTGTGTTACAGAAAGTGACTATTCAAGCAGATCCAAGATCACTTGTGTTCTACACACGTGACCAAAAATACGCTTCTCCTTGGTCTGCTGTCCAATGTAAGTTTTTCAGAGCAAAAACCAGAATGCAGTAACAAGATTAGTAGAATTAAAATATTTTTTCCTCTAAAAATAAGAATATTAGTCATGCTTCTAAGGGAAAATAAAACAATCAAATGAGTGTTCAGGGAAGCCAGAAGCTGCTGTTTGGAAGACCTGAGAAAGTCTGTTTATTTCCTGACTGCTTATTTTATTAATTTATTCACTGAAGTAAGTGCAAAGCTTTCCTTGCCTACTTCAGTGAACTTGAAGTTGTAGCACGCGCATTCACTCATGTCAAGGGAGGTTCAGGTTGGATATTGGGAAAAATGTCTTGTCAGAAGCTGTGGTGAGGCAGAGGCACAGCTGCCCAGGGAGGTGGTGCAGTCACCTTGGAGGTGTTCAGGAACCATGTAGATGAGACACTGAGAGACACAGTTAGTGGGCATGGTGGGGTGGGTTGGTGATTGGACTAGATGACCTGAGGGGTCTTTTCCAACCTTGGTGATTCTATGATGTGTGTGCATATATTTATATAGGGGTAAGGAGACAATTTTGGAGGAAATTAAGAGGTATTCCCTTTTCTGTGTGCGGCATCATGAAACAGGCCTGGTGTCCTATCAGGGTCTTGACTCTTCATCTGTTCCAAATGCATGCCACAAAGTAGTACCAGCCATAGAATCAGAAGGACCTTTAAAGATCATCAAGTTGAACTCCCTGATACTGAACCCAGACACCCACAGCTAGATCAGGGTATCCTGAAAAACATAATGTACATGAGCACAGCATTTTACAAATCCCTTAACTATGGTCCTACCACACAAGTAGGTTGACTCTTGCCAAATGCTTCCTCATGTTTCAGTGGTCTAAACATGATGAAAGATAAGCATGTAGCAGCACCTCACTATCTGCCTCTGGGCCCATCAGCACATCCCTTCTTTGCCTTGGTGCAGTTGTGGAGCAAAGGGATCAGTGCTGGGCCCAGTGTGATGTCACAGAATCAGAATCGTTAAGGTTGGAAAAGACTTTCAAGATTCAGGCCAACTGTCAGCACATCACCAGACATAGCACTGGGCAGTTGGGAGGAATGCAGCAGGGCACTGGTGCCTCAGGCAGGTTTGGGCACGAGTTGATACAGAACATAAGATGGACACCATCACTTGATAGCAGTCTCTTCCAGCTCTGTCATGTGCTGGAACACACAGTAATGTGCTGCGGAAACTATCTGACAGCAGTAACTCCAGTGCTATCTGCGTTCATTCCTTTCACTGGCTGCATTGCTCTTGAGTAATTCAAGTTGCAGGACTGGAATCTAGGAGGTCTGGCTTTCTTCTGTGCATTCTCACAGAAGAGGTTTAGGTTAGACATTAGGAGGAAGTTTTTCACACAGAGGTGGTGACACACTGAACAGGTTGCCCAAGGAGGCTGTGGATGCCCCATCCCTGGAGGCATTCAAGGCCAGGCTGGATGTGGCTCTGGGCAGCCTGGTCTGCTGGTTGGTGACCCTGCACAGAGCAGGGGGATTGAAACTAGATGATCATTGTGGTCCTTTTCAACACAGGCCATTCTATGATTCTCACCTGTGAGTTCATTGTATGGCCCCAGACCTTTTTTCAAACGGGCTGTCCTAGAGAAAGGAGCACCATGCAGGCACAGAAAAGGTGAGGTTGGGAGGCACGGTGGGTTAGGCCTCCAGCGCTGGGGTGCCTTCCCTCACCGCAGATCTCTCCGAGCAAGGAGCGCAGACAGCAGCCTCTCGCCAGGGAGGGAGAGAAACACGGGGCCGCAGGTTTGGAGGGCGAGCGGAGGGACGGCTCTCCGTGCCGCGCCGACGACAGGTGAGGGGCGAGGCCGGGCCCCGGAGGGGGAGGCTCGCGGCGGGGCGGCCACTCCCAGCGCGGTACAGCCGGGACCGGGCGCACCCCGCCGGCAGGGCCGGGCCGCGCGGCTGGAGCCGGGGGAGGGACGGGGCGGTGCCGGGCACAGGAAGCGGAAAGCGGCGGCGACTGCGGCCGCCGCCGGGGGAAGGCGGCGGGGCACGGCGGCGGGTCGGTGCCGGCTGAGCGGCATGGGGCGGCGGCAGGCAGGTTGGTCGCTCCGCGTGTTTGCGTGCCCGCGTGGGGTCCGCGCCCTCCTGCCGCCGCGACTCCGCCGCCGGGCGGGAGAGGATCCCGGCGGCCGTCTGCGTCTCCGGGGCTGGGCGGTGGGGCGGGCGGCCGCGAGCCCGACGGGGAGGCCCGGGGGGTGAGAGCCACGGGCTCGGCTGGGCGGCCCCGTTCGCCGCGCTTCTCGCCGGAGCTGCCCGCTGGGAGAGCCGCTGGCGGGGTACGGGAGCGGCACGGCCGCGCTGCCCGGCGAGTGGGCGGCTGGGTGCCTGCGCTCATGGCGAGCAACGGAGCGGTGATGTCTGGTCGGCGGATTCGCGGCTGGGGATCTGCTGCTTGGGAGCTGAGCGGAGATTCTTCCCCGCGCCCCGGCGCTGCCGATTCGCGGTGCGGAGCTGAGCGCGCCCAACAGAGGGCAAAGCTATTCGCTGCGTCGGGTGGCCGCCGTGGAAAACACCCCCGTGCCTTATGCGGAGGATCTGCGGGGTTACGAGCGAGTCGCTTCGGCTCCGCGTTTGTCCGTAACGCGTTGGCCGCGGATTTTTCCAGCCATAAAAAGTGAATGCGTGAAGTGACACCGAACACTGCATTCATTCCTTGAAGTCTGTGCGCTGCGGAGTGCGTGCTGTGAGGTCGCTGGGCTGTCCCGGCTTTCGGAAGAGTTGCGGAGCATTCCCAAACGATGTGATGTTTGCAGAGTTTGGCCTTCAGCGTGCTTGGCTATTCTTCCCCGCGGGAGTTTGGCCGCAGCTCTGAGACCAGCGCTAGTTTAATGGTCAACTCGTTACTAATTTCGAAAAATAAATGGTGAATGGAGCCTTGCAGAAAGCCTCCCCACAGAATGCTCTGCATGAGCCACACGCGGTGTTGGAAGGGCTTCCAGCCTTGTGCCAGCCTCCCGGGCACCCAGCTAGCTGCCCTGCAGTCGTTGGCTTTGGAACGGGCTCAGGCGCTTGAACTGTGCCTGCTGGCGCTCACCCAAACACAGAACTCCTTGTGGTTGCTACTGTCCTTTTGGTTTTAGTTAGCAGCGGCAGTGTTCTTGTTGTATTATGGATACGTGTACCTGGCAGGGCTTGCTGCCACAGAACCACACAAGTGAAACACAGCCTCTGTGACTGCGGTTATCCTGCAGAACTGAGCGTCTTGCTACTTTGGTGGCCTTCCTTCCATCCGCCCCTCTGACAACCAGAGCTGAGAATGGTATCAAAAATGTCACCGTGCTCTTAGGGATCATGTGGCCCTTTGTGCTGTGTCGGAGCTCGAGAGACGGTCTTGAGCAGAGAACCGTGACACTGCTGGAAGCAGTCATTGTGAAGGTTTGGCAGAAAGAGTAAGTAAACCATTTTCAGAACTACCTCAGGAGTTTTAATTCATCATCAGCTACCTGATTTAGGTTGAAAAACTGGTTGTTTTCTCAGGGGCCAGTGCGCTTTGTTCTTGCCGAGTCTACTGGTATCTGTTATGGATTGAGCAGAAGGAGAGCATCAGAGGGAGCCTCCGTCCTGAGGGTTTGTTTAGGGTCTTTAGACATATTCTTTAAAATCCAAATAGACAATTCAAGAAGATGTGGATATCCTAAAGGAGAGGGTATGCTTTTGATAGAGAAACCTTTATAATTTATAGCCTTTAATTTTATCCTGGTATCTAACTGCTGTGGATACAAGTAAACTTTCTAAATGAGATGCGGGTACCATCTGTTCTGGTAGGCAGTCTGAAGCACAAGCTTCAAGGCAGATTTGCCCTGTTTGTTTCAGCAAGGCTGTGGGGTTATAGGTACCAGTGTTGAAAATTGAGTTCCTGCATATGTGCAATCTCAGATGCTCTGGAATAACAAGAAAACACGGTCCTGGGATTGAGAAGTGCTTTTGAAGGTCCATTAACGTGGGAGATGGGAAAGCTTGCACTCCTTGTACTACTCTGACAAATTAGCAACTAAGGTATAATTTGCATGATTGATGACTTGGATGCTGCTTGTGTGCTTCACAAACTTGGGCAGCACAGATGTGGTTCTTACAGTGGGCATAGGGCATCCTCCTGGGAAGGGCTTGACTGATGGGTCCTGCATGGAGCTTCCCAAGTTGTGGATCAGCTGTATGTTGAGGTGGTGTGCTTGGAAACACTGCTCCCACGGTGCTGGTTTTGTTCAGGCATTTTTGTTCTCGATTGAGAACATGATCATGAGAACACTAAATTTTCGAGTCTGCATTATGATTAAACATGCAGGTGGATCACTCCAATAAATTAAGTGGCTTTTCTTTTCTTTTTGAAATATCCATGTCATGGACTAATGGCTTTCAGCCCAGGGGCTGGGAATTCCCGGGGGTCTGTGAACTGTTTCTAAGGAGCATGTGAGCAGTGAAGAAAAGAGAACACATCGCTAGAGGGCTTAGATTTGCTGACTGCTAAACATTTATTTTTAGGATGAGGGGCTTGCAAATCAGGAGCCACCACCATTGAGCAAAGGCTCTGGTTTACCTACTTCAAGGCTAGATTGAAACGTATTTAATGACATGCAGAAGTATATAAGCTTTTGGAAAAACTTTTTCCAAAACAATAACTTCCAAGAGCTTGTTGGCAGTTAAACCTAATGGAGAGCCTTGGCTCTGCAAGTAGATCAGTGTGGGTGAACTCTTGTGCTTACAGGTCACACTGCTGGACTGGGGCCCACTCAGGAAATTCAAAAGCAAGAGGTTCCTGTGGCATTGCTCATAGATCTTTCTATGTGTGCAGTTGAATGCAGTGAATTACGTCGTTTTTTTGAGGTGAATAACAGGAATGTGTTGTAACTGCCGAGTCAATGCTGCCTCTGGAATGTTTCCTGACTGTCCAGCAATCTTTTAATTATTTCTGCTCCTGAAGCCTGATGCTGTCCCTTAGCATGGCTCTTGGGGTTCTGCATGTTTAAATCTGTAAAGCTCATCGCAATCACTAGCAGGCATCCTTTGCTCTTTAGGCTACTGTAGGAGTGAGGCCTGCAGTGTGCTGAACCAAAGGTGCACACGTACTTGTGGGCACTGGTGGCTGCTTCTGGATATATGTAAACTCCATATGACACTTCTGGATATTTGAAACTCCATGCACAAATGGGTAAGTTGACTCCAATAGGTTGCAAGATCTGAACTGGGTAAGAATAAAATTGCACAGGCAAAAGTTTCCAAGCTAGGCTGGGATAGAATCGTTTGCCTCAGCTCCACAGGGGGAAATCCATTGGGAAAGCATGGGATGAAAAAAAAAAAAAAAAAAAAAGCTCTTGTTTGCGTTTTCCCTCTTTGATTTAAAGATGTAACTTGCTCCTTTAAATTTCCCTCAGGCCGGGAGCCAAATTGTGCTGCCTTGAAGACGATCACAAAGCAAACTTCACTGGAAATGGAATTGGGCTCCCAGCATGGAAAATAGCAATTCAAAAGAACTTTTTTCGGTAGATTTATGTGCAAATGAAAAGAGGGAGTTACAGCGAGTTGCATAGCTGTGTAAGAACTATAATTATAGTGATCTCTTCAATACTTGGGGTAACTACATTTCTCCCCTGTGGTGCAGGATTCGGCCATGCTTCTTGCCAGACTGACTGGGGTCCCCAAATCTCCTCTGAGGCCTCCTTAGCATTGTTTCCATCAAGGAGTTCACAGTAAGATGAAATCAGCAGCTTCCTTCTTTCATCTGTGAGTGAGGGAAAGGCAAAGTGAGAGTCTCAGCCCTACTACTGGCAGCAAAGTGTGCGCTTGCACAACACGCTTGTTTGCACACAGGAGAGATCCTATCCACCCTCTAGGTGTTTGCCTCTGCCACTTTCCATCGCGGGGTTGGTTTTGCTCTTTGGTGCTGTACTATGAACTGGGTCACAGAAAGGACCCAAGACAAAAGTGTGGCAAAGTAGGGAGGGGAGATTACTACTATTTTTTTTTTCCTTCCTTACAGTGGTGGTGTTTGCTCTCTGAGAATTGTGTTGACACAACTGAGAGTGGTGAACTGTGGTGTGGAGGTGGGAGCTACTTACACCGTCTTTCCTGTCAAAACCCAAGTACAGTGCAGCTGTACCCTGAAGCCAAAGGAGCTTTGTTTCACACGGGGCCAGGTGCTCTGCAAACAGACCATGCCTTCTGCAGGAGGTGTAGTGATCTCTTGTGAAGCTGTTTGAATTAACTGGATTGTGCTTCTCATTCGCACTTGTTTCTGGAGGGATGAGGCCCCAACTGATGGGGGCCCCCCACCTCCTTCCCAGCAATCCCAGAAGCTTTCTTGGGATAAGGCTAACCCCATTCCTGCCACAATGTAGTCCAGGAAGTAGGTGCCCTGCTTGTTTGACTGCAAAAAGTGTACCTGGATTGATTTTCTCTGCAGACTGTGCACCTCCACCTTAGATTCTTTGCTTCATTCTAGCTGGACTGGGCTTGCAATCTAGGCTATCTTCTGATGAACAAATCTAGGAAGCCTTCCGAAGGTCAGCCTCAATTGAGCACCAGACAAAGCCAGGCATCTTCTGCTTTTTCCAGCGGAGGTTGGGTAGGTTTGTTTTATTCCCAGTTGCCGTGGTGGGAAGAGCTGTTCAGCCCCCAGTACATCCTGCAGCTGGAGCAGGAGGTGGTGCCGAGTTCCTGAGTTCATCACATTGCTTTTGACTGCAGTCCAGGAGGCTTAACGTTTTTTGGTGGCCTGGTTGTTGACTTTTCACAGAGCTATGTCAAAACCGTTGGTCTTGTTTACAGAGAAAATGAAAGTTGGCATGATCCAGCCTGCCTCAGTGCTCCCATGTTAGTCTTACTGTGAGGCTGCTTCCCATGCCCAGTGCTGCCTTGCTTCCCCCACTGCCAAACTGGAACTGCATGCTTGTGGTTCCTGTCTAGGAAGCCTGGGCATTTTTTCACAGCAGTTTCTATCTGCTGAAATATTCTCTGACATCTCTAGCTCTGAGTCTTCTGCCTGGGATTTGGGGGGAGAAAAGATAAGCAATCACGTGTGTTGAAACTTCCTTCACAGGTTCCTCTATGGCTTTGCCATGTTTGTGAACTTGGTTGCTCTCTCTCCCTCTAGTAATGCCACAGTGAGTGGGTTAATCCCATAACATTTGTTAACACCTCTTGTGCTTGTGAGGGTATTGGTGCTCACAAGGTCCTTTAGTGCTCATCTCTGTTGGTATAACACTGCTTTTTGGAGCATGGAAGCAGGGATTTTAAGGAGGTGGCCTAGCTGGGTAGAGCTAAAAAACAGCTTTTCTGAGTCCTGTTCTGTTGCTGGAGCCGTAAGTTCCAGGCTGTGTGCATCATGTCTCCCTGGCTGGGGGATTTTAGTTCCTGTTACAGTCATGATGCTGTATTTCAAACTGTGCCGTGCCTTGGCTTTGTTTTTTGTTGTGCCTGTACAGTCTAAATTCGTCATTCTCCCCTTCCAAAACCAGGCGTTATGTTTCCATTCTTGTTTGTCCTTCTAAATTCTGTGCTTCCTTTGAGGAGCTTTTTGAGGCACGATGTTCCCTTACAGCCTAGGAATTCATGTGTGCTGAGGTTCTCCAACACTTCCTTCCTGGGAGCCCTGGTGAGCTCAAGCTTCGGGTAAATGCCTGCAGCTCCACATCATGCTGTGGGCCAAGGAAGCCTGCGGAGCCTGGACTTGGTTCTTAAGCAGGGTTTGTGCATTGCAGAGGGCTCTCTGCTTGCTCATGAGCTTTTCTGGAGGTGTTGGTGCAGGAATTCTGTGGCTGGAAAGGGAAGCTGGCCTAGTATTAGGCTTGGTTTCTGTTGCTCTTCTTCTCTGGGAAGGTAGAAGATGGAAAGCAGTTGTTGACTCTTCTATTGCTAACAGCTTTAAAAAGCGTTGTGAGCAGAGAGAAATGGAGGGATTTAATTTTATTTAAAGCAGTCTTTTGCCTGCTCATACTTCCACATGCCTATAGCCCTCTGTCCTGCCAGTGTTGGCTCAGGGCAGTGGTCTGGCAGGAAGCATGGGAGAGTGCTGCTCCATGTCAAACCCTGCACTGTGCCACTGTGCTTAATTCCCCATGGCTGGGGGGAATTAATTCTTCCCTAATTCTTCTGTGTTCTTCTTCTGTCTCCTTCTTGGCAAATGCAGAATACAGAGTTGGGAAGTAACTGGATGTCTGCCTTTATTTTTTTTTTCCCCACAGGGTTCAAAGTTCTTGGCGTGTAACTATTAGAGGCTGTTCTGTTATTACTGTGTTCCCATCCCAAAACAGACAGCTTTCTTCTGCCCTTTGCAGATAGGATTTAAGCTTCTGTTCCAAGTGGAGATGTGCCACAAGAAATGTTGGCCCATATAAGCCAGTTACGATCTCTAATCAACTCTCCCTGGTGCGATTAGTATGTGTATATATAGCTATAACTTGTAGTAAAATTTAGTTCTTCAAGGCCCAAATTAGCTTCGGAGGCAAAGGTGGCAAAGGAATGGAGGCACTCGCCGTGCCATCGATTGTGTAGTAGCAAATGCTTGTAAAATGGGCACACCTTGCGGCTATGAAAACAAAGCAGGTTCAGACACGGTGGTCTGATCGTTCGCAGCATTTCTGCTGGGATAGTCACACACACCCCCGTCCCTTCCCTCAGGAGCAGCAGACTATACTGCTGGTATTCGGGATGTGTGTTATGGGGATGTGGAAGTCAAGCCCAGTATCTTTTCTAGGGGTGAGTGTCTGTGTCCAGGATGCCCAGTCTTCACCAAGGCTCAAAGGTCTTCTGCAAGTGACTGAAGCTGTTTCAGATTTTTGGATAAATGGACTAGATTTCTACCAGCTTATTTAAAGCTCTGCAAATGGCTGTGTGTCTCCAGTGCAGTTCAGAAACAGAGATGGGGTGAGGTTGTAAATTGGGCACAGTGTGATGAGCTAATGACATGTGGCCGAGTGGATGGGGGTGAGGGAATTAACACAGCGTGAGTGCTGTTTTGCTTTGCTTAGCGTGCCTATTTGTTTTTCCTAGGCCGATCGTGAGGAGCAGAGCTCCCCTCCTCCTGCCTCTGGAAGGACTTGCAAGTGAAGAGCGCTTGCTCCCCAAGGACCAAGCCTCACTAATGACTGGGAAGCAAAGAGTACTCAGGAAAGCACTTTTATCACGGACTCCACCTCAGGAGCACCGAGAACTCGTCTTCTAAACAAAATCCTTGTGGACCCCATGTCTGCTGCAATGGATACAGAATCGACGTATTCGGGATACTCCCACTACTCAGGTCACTCCAAAAAAGCCCACAGACAAGGGTAAGAAAATATTTATTTTTGATTACTTGCTGCTTTAAGCTAGGATGTGTCCTGTGGAAAAAGAAGAAAAAAACCAAAAACGTAAGCCAGGATGTAATCAACGGGGCTACAGCTCTAGAGGCGATGCATGCCGAGAGTTCTCCAGAGGAACCCAGAGACAAGATAGGAAGCAATTATGCCATTATTTTAATGACATTCAAACTGTTGCTGGTATGCTGGGGTTGCATGTGGCTGGAAAAATTGGAGAAGCGCCATGCGAAGGAAAAAAATCACTTGACTTTGCTTTAACGTGTGAGGGGTGAATAGAGTCTCTGGGGAGATGTGTCAGACTTCCTAAGCTGATACTTGCCACTTGTTTCTATTCTGATACCATTTCTTTATTGTGTAACAATAAGGCTTCCTTTCTCCCCCTCCCCATCCTCCTGACTTCTCTTTGTTGGTGGTGTTTTTTTCTAATAGAACTTAAGTGGTGCTTGAGTCCACAACAAGTCCTTTATCAGCGTTGATTGGATTTGAAGGCAGGCTTTTGTGAACTTGAATAGCGAGTCCTCTTTCTGTTTTGGTAGTTCAGTGCCATCAAAAAACCTCTTACTCTAAGACATCTAATTACTTGGAAAGTATGCTTGTTCTTCTTTTTTCGTTTCCTTTTTTCTTTTCCTTTTTTCTTCTTTTGTTTTTTTTTTTTTTAATCTTCATCATTAGCTTTACAAGCAAAACTGGTTCCATTTATGGTCTTTGTAACTTAGAACTGAGTTGGTCCAAAATAACTTTGCATTTCATAAGCAGTTATCCCTCATGGTTGGAAAAAGAATTCTTCCATGAAATAGCCTGTTTGCTGGCAGTCCAGTTCTTGAGTAAAACATCTCATTTGTCTTTCTTCCCTTTGTCCAATACCTTTTCCTTTAACATCACCAATCCATGCCCCAGTGTGGATTGCTCTTTGAAGTTCAGAATGCAGTGTGGAAAGATGTCTTACAGGTTTTCAAAACAGCATACCAAATTCTAGAGCCTCCTATTGCAAACAGAAGGAAGTTTCATCCTATGAAACCTTTTTTGGGATTACCACAACCCAGTGCTGGGACCCTGGTCACTCCTGGGCTTTAACCAGTGTCTGAGTACATGAGGGTCTATGGTGCAAAGGTCACCGCCCTGTCCAGGTATGAAATGGGAGGGAAGTACTGTCAAGCAGGTTGATCAGGCTTAATTCATTTTGGGGCATTCTCATATTAGAAGCCATGGGGTCTACAAAGGTACTCTGACAGTGAGTACTGCTCTGCTGCCATTGATGTTTTTGCTCTCTTTGTGAGAAGTTAGCTGGGAATGCAAATAAACATCACCAATTGTCCTACAGTGTTGAGGTCCCAGCTGACAAGATTACAATCTGTAGGAACTGAGGTTTCCTTGTGTTACCTTTGCGTGTCCCCAGGGACACCCTATCAGAGGTGTATAGCTGTGTAGATCAATTAGTCCCAAATGGCATTCTCAGCTGTTGAGGGAATGCAAGCTTCCCTTTTAAGCCCAGCACTGCCATTTTAAGAAGAGTTGAGATAGTAGGGATGTGCCTATGTCCCTGTGGTGACTCTCTTCAGTAACTGACAAGTTAAACTGCCCCAGCCACAGGGCTGTGTGCTGTTTTGGACAAGGTCACTTTCTTCCTCTCCTGAAGCTTGTTCTATTGCAAATTACATCAGTGTTGATCAAGGGGTGAGCAAGCATGACTAAAACCAAATTCTTAGGGCACCTGCTGCAAGTAAATTAAAGGTTCCAAGCTGTGCTCCAGAAACTCGTTAGTAACTTTCTTCTTCCCTTGCTCTATTTGGAAAAGGAGTCGGGACAGGCACAAATCACCACGAAGCAAAGATGGCAGTCGGTCGGAGAAGTCCGTCACTATCCAGACACCTCCTGCAGAACCGCTGCTCGGGAATGACGCCTCTCGAACAGAGGAGGGCCAGGTAAGGAGGCAGAGAAATAAATGTGGAGTTTGATTTTTGGAACAGAGCCTATGACTTTGTCTCATGTGAATAGGAAGAGGCATGTTGCTTACATGCTGTCAGTACACTACCATGACCTATGGCTACTGTTTATTCATGCATTACACTAAGGTCTCATCAGTTTTGTCTTTCCTGAGAGCATTGCTTTTGACAGCACCAGTGCTGACATGACTTACCCCTGGGGCACTGATTTGCTTCTGTTTCCAGAGTGTTATCTGCCAAGCTCTATAGAAACATGTGTTTCCATCATCTCACTGTGCAATATTCAGGTCAAGCCTTTCACCTGTGTGTACACTTTTGTCTTTAAACAGGATTTGCACGGGATCGTAGTGTCAAATGTTAGGGCCAGTATCCCCTAATAAGAAAAGGAGGCAAGAAGTATAAAGGTAGTGCAAAATAGCTAGGAATTTAGGGGAAAAACCCTCCAAATTCACTGAAACTAATATATCATTATTAATAAATAAGAAGAGTGCTTATTTTAGGCTGTATCTAGGATGGATCCAACACTCTTTGCGCTAGCAGTTAATGTGAAGGTGCGTATTCATTAGCAAAGAATGACTGATTTTGCAAGACAAAGAATTCAGGATGTTTCCTTACTTCCTGGGTTGCATTTTTGGTGTGTTTGTTTTTGGCTATGGGGCTCTAACTTCATTCTTTCAAAACAAAATTGCCAATTTTCTATTCAGGTTGCATATGGTAGCCCTTACATGTACTTCCATTTAGTATTTGTAATCAAATATTTTTTTTCAAGAGTCCCAGCTATTACTTTGAGTACATGTAAACATTCTGGAAAATTTATAGGCCTTTGTTTTCATGCAGACCTCCTCAATGCGTTTTAAAGTCAAAGGAAATTGAATAGATACATGAGCAAGACTTTTCTCCTGGGAAGCAGAGTGCCCTGGATTGGATTCAGCAACCTTGTACCATTTGAGATTTAGACTTATATTTCCATGTAACTGCATGATTTTGATATTTGTGCCATTTAGAATGGGAGGAACTGTTTGAAGTTGTAAACTGGGACTAGAATTGCCTGTTTTCTTCTGAGCTGTAGCCTTAAGCCACTTTGGTGTTTCTGTCCCTTCTCTGTTCTGCACAGCTTCTCAGTCAATCAAAAGGATGAAATCATGCAGAGCTATTTCGTACATAAGCATAAAATACTTGAAATGCTTAGATTGTTTTACTGGAGACATGGGCAAAAAGGAAAATGAGACAAGATTATACTCCTTTCAGGAAATCTTACTGTACAGGTATCTCTTCTCTGCTTTGATGAGGAGTGACTCAAAAAGCCCTTAGATTACTTTGCGTTACTGTTTGTTTGTGGTTGGTCTATCTCAAAACCCTACTCCTGTAGGCAGGGAGGTGTTGAAGTGCATTGGAAGTTAAAATACCAAAGTTGTTCACAGCAGTCTTGCTGCTTCTGTCCTCTGCTCTCCCAAAGGTTCTTGAAGACTCTTTCCTGTAGCTTTTATAGAGGTGAATAATGCTTTATATTCAAGTGGTAAGTAGGAAACCCCTAGTCTTATGTTCCTGCAGCGCTCATGTCTATAAGTATTGTGTCTTGTGTATAAAATGATGTCTGTTTCTTTAAAACAAAGTGCTTAGCTCAGCATATGTAATTGCCAAAGTCTGGGAGAAGGTGTAAATCCTATATATCCTATCCTATCCTATATATGACCGAAGCTGCAGAAAGAAAGATTTGGGAGGGTGAGAGCAAAAGCAAAATATGCACTTCTGAATGAGCCTTGAGCTACAAAGGTGTTGGGTGCCAAGCAGCAAAACGTGCACTGACGTTGTTTGGTACCTATTTGTGAGAAGTACCAGGAGTCTTCTCAGGTATGAGTCACTTCAACAGCAACTGTGAGTCAAATCCCAAACCCACGTCTGTCAGTACAGCTCTTTGGCTGTGCCAGTACCAAGAAGTAGCAATTGAAGGCATCACAGGATGGAAGTATTATATTAGCCTGCAGAAGTCCTTTGAAATTAGCAGGGAAAGAAATTAGGCTTTCTGAATGCCTTTTGCAATCTGAAGCTTGATTATATTTGCAGTATAGTAAATTTAAAGCATCATACCAGAAAATATTTTCAATGGCTACGTGTGATTTTTTTCAAATTTAACTTTTATTCAAATATATTAGCCACTGAGGACAATGCTACTGTAGAGGAGAATAAAAGAAAAGGTAGAATAACTTGCTAGAAGTGTAATTGCTTCTCTTACAGATGGAAAAACAATGTGTGAACTTGTTTATGATTGTGTAATGACTGCGGTTGGCTTGAAACACTGAAATGGACTTTTTCCTTCCAGGTGATTCTGTGATGCACTTGCACTACAGCCCACTACATGGGCCTGCAGAGTGCTAGTCCTTGTTTTCTGTGTAGGACCTGATGATTACTACAGTTTCCAAGAGTTATGTTGTATTATTAGTACTTAAGTACTAATTGTGTGTGATTACACACTTAGGTGTACTGGAAAAAGAATTTCTGAGATATATTGAGTGGCAAAGAAAGTTGAGCTACCTGCTCTACAGTTACGTGTTTTTACCACTCAGCATTTATAGACACTGATTTGGGCTGAATCTTATTAATTTTCAGAGTTGATCCTTCAATATTTTGAAGGTGTTGCTTTTACATAGAAGATTCAAGTCTCACATTATAAGCTTTTTCCAGGCAAGAAAAATAGAAGACCTGGAAGAAATAACCCAATTGTTTCACTGTTGTTGTTGTTTCTCTCTTCCTCTCATAGGATGACAACTGGGGTGAGACCACAACAGCAATCACAGGTACCTCTGAGCACAGCATTTCCCAGGAGGACATAGCCAGGATCAGTAAGGATCTGGAGGACAGTGTTGAGTTGGACTGCAAACGTTACCTTGGTTTAACAGTGGCAGCTGTTCTCGGACTCCTCGTCTTCCTTACCCCCATCGCCTTCATTCTGTTGCCCCAGATCTTGTGGCGGGATGATCTGGAGCCATGTGGTACTGTCTGTGAGGGACTGTTCATCTCTGTGGCATTTAAACTGCTCATTCTTCTGATTGGGACCTGGGCTCTGTTTTTCCGCCAGCCCAAGGCAGACATGCCAAGGGTGTTTGTGTTCCGGGCCCTCTTGTTGGTCCTCATCTTCCTGTTTGTGTTTTCCTACTGGCTTTTTTATGGCGTTCGCATCTTGGACTCAAAGGACACCAACTACCAAGGAATAGTGCAGTATGCAGTGTCTCTGGTGGATGCGCTGCTCTTCATTCACTACCTGGCCATTGTCCTGCTAGAGCTACGGCAGCTGCAGCCCATGTTTACTGTCAAGGTTGTTCGTTCAACAGATGGAGAATCGCGATACTACAGCTTGGGGCACTTGAGGTAGGTACAAGCCACTGGAGTCCAGTGGTGTAGATAAACGTGGCTGTGCCACAGCAGGAAGCACCAACTGCACTTGTTTATATGGTGTCATTTGTTTCTGAATTTTCCCCCAGAGGAATCCTAGTCCCTTAGATGCTACCAAATTGGATTGGGCTGTCCTTGCTTCAGAAACCTGAATAAACATCCCTTGAGTCAGAGAATGAAAAGAGCTGATAGCTCAACATTAAGCTGGTCACTAGGCTAAGCCCAGTGAGGTGCTTATTTAAAGGCCTTCTCGGCCTCCTTGCTGGAGTGGAGAGGAGAGGCTTCCTCATGTAGCTGAGGGTTGTTTGTGCTCTGTGGTTGCATGGGCCGGATGCCCTCTGACAACACATCAGAACATCACTCTTCAGAGCCTCCTGACTGGCCAGCAGGTTCCTTGCATTCACGTGGCAGGGGCTGAAGGAAATAAGTAAGAAAAGGTTCAGCAACTTAATGTGCTAAAATGCAGAACACATCTTGTCTGTCCTCCCCTGTGCAGCCAGGACTTGTGGAAGAAACCTGAATAAACATTCCTTGCGTTAGACTTAGCACTGCCATTCAGATCCTGAGTGAGGTGTTGGTGACTGGTTGAAATGTTTGCTTTCAGGTGTTGGAGCTCTGGCACCTGCTTTTGTGACAAGTAGGGGCTCCCTTGAAGGGTGAGGCATGAAGCTACACTATGGGATGCTTTCAGTGGCCTGCAACTCCCCTTCTTTTCTGAGGTCAGCAGCTCAGAAAAGTCAGCTGACTTTGTTTTTGCACTGGCTTGCGGGGAGACTTCTTCTGAAGCAGCCTTAGTGCAGCCACAACTTTCCAGCAGCTTGAACACTGAAGAACAAAATTTTTAATGAGTACTGGGACACATGTAGATACAGGCTGTTTGTTTGTTTGTGCTTTTTTTTTTTATTTTCTTGTGGTACTGCACCTGGTTTGGTCCTGATTCATGATGCTACCTGCTCTTTTTGTCATTGTTGTTGACCAGTTTGATGGGTCAGATGCATCTAGGAGTGTTTGAGGGCAGTCTGCAGGTATTACGCATGCTTGCTTCAGCCTTTCTCCTGGGGTTAATGCTTCTCTCCACAGAGATACAAGAAAGAATGAGTATCTGTCTCCTTAGTTCCTGTGTCATGTGAAGATGTCTAGAAATTTCTTCATTCCTGTGCCCTATCAGCTCTGAAGCTGATTCCCCAGACCATATGAGTGCTTAAATATCTGCTCCACTTATCTTGTCCAGACCCCTATGGCATGCATATTTATTGCAGATGGAGAGATTAGTGTCTGCTGGTTTAAGTGGATGTAGGAACAGTCTCCAGTTATTAGCTTAGCAATGGAATTGCTTTGAAGCAGATTTAGTGGTTGAAGCTCAAGTCTGGGAGTTGACTCCTGGATGCTGATCCTGGCTTAACAGAAAGGCCTGTGGTTTCCTATGTGAACCAGGTCTGGACACTACTAGTTCTCCTTTGTAAAATGTGAGGCAAGAGTCCCTTTTTTGTAATAGAAGCATTCCAGTTGCTTTACCCAAAGGTCAGCTTTGGAGTTTAAAAAACAGAGCAATCTCTGCTGATTTTCTTTTTTCATTTATTTATTTGTTATAAAACTTGCAAATTCCTCTGTGGTGGGTGGCAGATCCAGGGCATCTTTTTAATCTAAAAGTGGTGGGAAATGGAGGGAGCTATCAAAGAGCTCCCTTGTACTGTGGCTTTGTGCCTTGAGAATGCCATGACAATTCTCACAATTCTCAGAAGTGAACTGTGCACAGAACCTTCAGTATTTGTGTGTGTATGCCTATGTATAAACACCAAGTGCAGGTTTGGCTTGAGGGTTTGCACGGTAGTTGATTGTTAATTTGTGTTCAGAGGAATTAAGATCCTTCTTCTGCCAAAGTCTACCTGTCTGTCTTTAACCATGTGTAGTGGAAATGCTATGTCATGGTATGAACCAGCAATTGAGTACCTGGTAGGCAGGCAGGGCCAACTCAGGGAACTCAGGCGCATGCGGTGCACCTGAGTGACCAGAAGGGATGGAGCCAGGATCCACCCTTTCCCAGACCTCAGCTAACAGTTGGCAGTGGAGGTGAGGGATCTCATCTGGAGATCCCTGCTTATCTGAGGACCTTACAGACCGTCTGAAGGTAAGCAATTTCATATTTCCGTGCCTACTGCTATCACATCTAAGCAGATCCTCACTTGCTGTAGCTTAAGACCTCTGCTTTCTATCACATCACACCATACGGGTAACTGTGACTTTGTAGACAAAGAATTTGCTTGAGAATCCAGGCCTTAATAGCACTAGCATTAGAAACAGCGTTCTCTTTGCAGCAGTTTTCTCTTTACAGAAAGGTTTTGGAATGCCTTAGGTGATGCGAGGGCAGCAAGGACTAGTAAAATCTGTGATGTATGAAAAAATTAATAATTTCTCATTTGTTGGCAAGCTGCTTGCAGTTTTGTTTGGCACACTGAATCCAAACTATGCAAAACGGAGATGCTTCAGCAGCATCTTGTGTTAGAGAGGAGAGTCTTGCCAAGCATGTTTAAGAATGGGAAGCTAGTGCTGCTTTTTCCTGAGTTTCTGGCAGCTGTGTAACATGTTTTTGAGCCTGTTGTTTTTAACATCCTTGCTAATGTAGAGGTAAGACTTTGGGAAAGAGGGAAGATCTGATTAGAAGCCAAGTGTCTCACAGACAAGGAAGAACACATTCTCCCTTCATCTCTCTCTTTTGCAGAATGCAAGAGAGGAGAGTTATTCGTGTGCAGATGGCACAAGCAGCTGGACTTTATATGGAGCATGACCCCAGTATGATAAGCACTGTAAGAAATGATTGAAATTCCTGTTTCCATCTTCTAACAGCTTAGGATAGCAAGGTGTTCATGCAGAACAAGAGAAATTTGGCAACTGAAACACCCTTGTAGCATAATCTTGTAAAGTGTCCGTGAAGTCTCTTACGTGCTTGTCCATGAAATGTCATAGAGGCTGGTTTACTCTCCTGCAACGCGAGGTCTGATGGTTGAGATGCACCAAGGCAGTATGTTTAGGAGAACTGAAGAAGCAGCCTTGTGGGTGTACTGGAGAGATAGTCATGGCTATGATGGAGTGTGTGTATGCTGCTTGTTGCTCCCAGTGGGCTCCTTCTGTTTACTCTTGTGTATGCTTGCCTCATCCCAACCCTTTTAAAGGGGTCATATATAGGTTGTGGCCTGCTGCCTGCAAGGAGCAAGCATGCTTCAGCAGGTGTAGTAATCTGATTGCCTTCTGAAATCAAAATGTTGCCTTGGTCTGTTCTTTAGTCCTCTTTGTGCACCCAAGCATCTCAGAGTCTTGGTCCATGGAGTTTTCCATCCTCAGCAGTCCAACGGGCTCCAGAGGCTGGTACTGAGAAGACTCTTGGGACATCTTGTGCAGTTTTGCATGGTTGAGTAGTCCTGAATTGTTTCCCTGGCAAAAAACTGTTGGTGCCTTTTCAGTCAAAGGTGCAGGCTTTCAAATTCTGCCTCTTCTCTGTGTCAGAGAGCCGCTAAATGTGAAGAAACTGTCTGGGAGAGAAAGGAAGAAAACAACAGCTTAGCTGCTCTTTTGTAAAACTATGGTTTTTGCTAGGTAGAGTATGGACTGAATTTTCCACACTCCTTGGCTCCAACTGCAGTTAAGAAGTTGAATATGCTGAGTTTGATGTTCCATTCCACCCCTGAGGGCCCTGGGTCCAGGAGGGTAAGCATATTTGGGAGTAGTTCCCCAAACTCATATTGTAATTAACCTATTAATAGACTGGCTTGGTCCCACCTCCAGCGCTTTGGCTACAGCTTTTCTTTTGGGAGACTTTAGCTGCCAAAATGAGCATTCCCTTTGGCAGTGACTCAGGGTTTGGTGAGGGGAGGTAAAAGTTAAATTGGAGTCCCTGTGAACTGAGTGCCAAGTCTCGACTTACTGACTGCTCTGCTGCTCCTAGTAGGAGGGGTTGGCATGTGAGGGAAGTGCTTTATGAGGGTATGGATGGACAAAGAGGTGGGCAGGGAGAGCAGATATGGGAAAGTAAAGCCTTGGAAAATGAAGGAGAGATGGGGTGGGGATGCTGGTGAGAATTTTGGAAGCAAGAACAAAAGAAACAAAGGTAGGGAAGAGTAACAGTAGATAACTTTCCTGTTGAAAGGCTGATCGCTTTGCTGTTATTGGGACGTGGATGACATCTGTCATCCATAATTCAGTTCCTTCTGGATGGCTCAAAAATAGTGTAGATAGGGTGTTCCTGGAGAAAACCCTCCTCTTCACGTTCACGTGCTGGATGCAGTCCTTTTCTCTCCAGTAAATAGTCTTTCCCCACCCTAGAGCTTTGCTGGTCTAGACAACTCAGGAAAGTGAATTACTTCGAACATGCATGGTAATTATTGATCCTACACATAGACAGAATGTGGCTCTGTTGTAGTTTTTGTTTTCTGAGGTTAGAAATGTCTGTGAGTGGGTTTTTCTGCTCCCTGCAGTATTAATATGAAGAGCTTGGCCATGATAGTTTGTTCTGAACTGACAAGAAGGGAGGTTGGTTATGAGCCTTCCATACAGCTTGAGTCAGGACACAGCTTTTGCAGGCTGGTATGAGCTGGTTGATGTTCCTTCCATATAATCAAAAGAAGCTTAGTACTGAGAAGTAGTAGAAAATGTCTGCTAGAGTGTTGTTCGTCCTTGTGTTTACCATATGTATTTGGATGACTATTTGCTGAGTTGTGGTTTGAAAATACAAGAAGAGAGCAGATGCTTCCTTGAAACAGGTGTATGTCTCTGAAGAGCCTGCACCTTCCCTGCAGGATTTAACCGTATCTTATTGAGAAATCTTGTGGCTTGTACAGGCTCACAAAACAAAATAGATGCATAAGTGTTTTTTGGAAGGGGAGTCTGTCTCTTGGCTGAACTGAGGCAGAGGAGCAGCTGTTCCATAGGTGGTGCTTGAACCCTTATGTTCAGTACAAAACAAAGCTGAAAAGAGAATTGTG